TGGTATTCCCAGGCGGTCTCCCATCCAAGTACTAACCAGGCCCGACCCTGCTTAGCTTCCGAGATCGGACGAGATCGGGCGTGTTCAGGGTGGTATGGCCGTAAGCGATGACACAGGCTCCAAATGAGCTATTTCAACGTGCTCCTGTGTGGTTCTCTCAATTATAATCAGCATTTCACTTTCAATGAACAATGCGTCGCTCAAGAAAACACCCGGATACGCAGTCAAGCTTAGTTTTACAGCCTATCTCTGCAGTCCATCATGCTCCACTCCTTTGCTCCGCTTCATGACAAGATCTCAGTCCTCCCGCTCTTTGTGCTTTTTTGACCTTTTCTTTCATTTATCTTGAAGGCTCATCTCCAAGTGTATTTGCATTGGTCCAAGCTAAAGACCAGGCTCCCCAAAGACCCATATCCTAGCCTCTTGGAGAGAGAACACGGCACAAGATACAAGAAAAGAAAAGCTTACAGCACCTGGTATTCCCAGGCGGTCTCCCATCCAAGTACTAACCAGGCCCGACCCTGCTTAGCTTCCGAGATCGGACGAGATCGGGCGTGTTCAGGGTGGTATGGCCGTAAGCGATGACACAGGCTCCAAATGAGCTATTTCAACGTGCTCCTGTGTGGTTCTCTCAATTATAATCAGCATTTCACTTTCAATGAACAATGCGTCGCTCAAGAAAACACCCGGATACGCAGTCAAGCTTAGTTTTACAGCCTATCTCTGCAGTCCATCATGCTCCACTCCTTTGCTCCGCTTCATGACAAGATCTCAGTCCTCCCGCTCTTTGTGCTTTTTTGACTCTTTCTTTCATTTATCTTGAAGGCTCATCTCCAAGTGTATTTGCATTGGTCCAAGCTAAAGACCAGGCTCCCCAAAGACCCATATCCTAGCCTCTTGGAGAGAGAACACGGCACAAGATACAAGAAAAGAAAAGCTTACAGCACCTGGTATTCCCAGGCGGTCTCCCATCCAAGTACTAACCAGGCCCGACCCTGCTTAGCTTCCGAGATCGGACGAGATCGGGCGTGTTCAGGGTGGTATGGCCGTAAGCGATGACACAGGCTCCAAATGAGCTATTTCAACGTGCTCCTGTGTGGTTCTCTCAATTATAATCAGCATTTCACTTTCAATGAACAATGCGTCGCTCAAGAAAACACCCGGATACGCAGTCAAGCTTAGTTTTACAGCCTATCTCTGCAGTCCATCATGCTCCACTCCTTTGCTCCGCTTCATGACAAGATCTCAGTCCTCCCGCTCTTTGTGCTTTTTTGACTTTTTCTTTCATTTATCTTGAAGGCTCATCTCCAAGTGTATTTGCATTGGTCCAAGCTAAAGACCAGGCTCCCCAAAGACCCATATCCTAGCCTCTTGGAGAGAGAACACGGCACAAGATACAAGAAAAGAAAAGCTTACAGCACCTGGTATTCCCAGGCGGTCTCCCATCCAAGTACTAACCAGGCCCGACCCTGCTTAGCTTCCGAGATCGGACGAGATCGGGCGTGTTCAGGGTGGTATGGCCGTAAGCGATGACACAGGCTCCAAATGAGCTATTTGAACGTGCTCCTGTGTGGTTCTCTCAATTATAATCAGCATTTCACTTTCAATGAACAATGCGTCGCTCAAGAAAACACCCGGATACGCAGTCAAGCTTAGTTTTACAGCCTATCTCTGCAGTCCATCATGCTCCACTCCTTTGCTCCGCTTCATGACAAGATCTCAGTCCTCCCGCTCTTTGTGCTTTTTTGACTTTTTCTTTCATTTATCTTGAAGGCTCATCTCCAAGTGTATTTGCATTGGTCCAAGCTAAAGACCAGGCTCCCCAAAGACCCATATCCTAGCCTCTTGGAGAGAGAACACGGCACAAGATACAAGAAAAGAAAAGCTTACAGCACCTGGTATTCCCAGGCGGTCTCCCATCCAAGTACTAACCAGGCCCGACCCTGCTTAGCTTCCGAGATCGGACGAGATCGGGCGTGTTCAGGGTGGTATGGCCGTAAGCGATGACACAGGCTCCAAATGAGCTATTTCAACGTGCTCCTGTGTGGTTCTCTCAATTATAATCAGCATTTCACTTTCAATGAACAATGCGTCGCTCAAGAAAACACCCGGATACGCAGTCAAGCTTAGTTTTACAGCCTATCTCTGCAGTCCATCATGCTCCACTCCTTTGCTCCGCTTCATGACAAGATCTCAGTCCTCCCGCTCTTTGTGCTTTTTTGACTTTTTCTTTCATTTATCTTGAAGGCTCATCTCCAAGTGTATTTGCATTGGTCCAAGCTAAAGACCAGGCTCCCCAAAGACCCATATCCTAGCCTCTTGGAGAGAGAACACGGCACAAGATACAAGAAAAGAAAAGCTTACAGCACCTGGTATTCCCAGGCGGTCTCCCATCCAAGTACTAACCAGGCCCGACCCTGCTTAGCTTCCGAGATCGGACGAGATCGGGCGTGTTCAGGGTGGTATGGCCGTAAGCGATGACACAGGCTCCAAATGAGCTATTTCAACGTGCTCCTGTGTGGTTCTCTCAATTATAATCAGCATTTCACTTTCAATGAACAATGCGTCGCTCAAGAAAACACCCGGATACGCAGTCAAGCTTAGTTTTACAGCCTATCTCTGCAGTCCATCATGCTCCACTCCTTTGCTCCGCTTCATGACAAGATCTCAGTCCTCCCGCTCTTTGTGCTTTTTTGACTCTTTCTTTCATTTATCTTGAAGGCTCATCTCCAAGTGTATTTGCATTGGTCCAAGCTAAAGACCAGGCTCCCCAAAGACCCATATCCTAGCCTCTTGGAGAGAGAACACGGCACAAGATACAAGAAAAGAAAAGCTTACAGCACCTGGTATTCCCAGGCGGTCTCCCATCCAAGTACTAACCAGGCCCGACCCTGCTTAGCTTCCGAGATCGGACGAGATCGGGCGTGTTCAGGGTGGTATGGCCGTAAGCGATGACACAGGCTCCAAATGAGCTATTTCAACGTGCTCCTGTGTGGTTCTCTCAATTATAATCAGCATTTCACTTTCAATGAACAATGCGTCGCTCAAGAAAACACCCGGATACGCAGTCAAGCTTAGTTTTACAGCCTATCTCTGCAGTCCATCATGCTCCACTCCTTTGCTCCGCTTCATGACAAGATCTCAGTCCTCCCGCTCTTTGTGCTTTTTTGACCTTTTCTTTCATTTATCTTGAAGGCTCATCTCCAAGTGTATTTGCATTGGTCCAAGCTAAAGACCAGGCTCCCCAAAGACCCATATCCTAGCCTCTTGGAGAGAGAACACGGCACAAGATACAAGAAAAGAAAAGCTTACAGCACCTGGTATTCCCAGGCGGTCTCCCATCCAAGTACTAACCAGGCCCGACCCTGCTTAGCTTCCGAGATCGGACGAGATCGGGCGTGTTCAGGGTGGTATGGCCGTAAGCGATGACACAGGCTCCAAATGAGCTATTTCAACGTGCTCCTGTGTGGTTCTCTCAATTATAATCAGCATTTCACTTTCAATGAACAATGCGTCGCTCAAGAAAACACCCGGATACGCAGTCAAGCTTAGTTTTACAGCCTATCTCTGCAGTCCATCATGCTCCACTCCTTTGCTCCGCTTCATGACAAGATCTCAGTCCTCCCGCTCTTTGTGCTTTTTTGACTCTTTCTTTCATTTATCTTGAAGGCTCATCTCCAAGTGTATTTGCATTGGTCCAAGCTAAAGACCAGGCTCCCCAAAGACCCATATCCTAGCCTCTTGGAGAGAGAACACGGCACAAGATACAAGAAAAGAAAAGCTTACAGCACCTGGTATTCCCAGGCGGTCTCCCATCCAAGTACTAACCAGGCCCGACCCTGCTTAGCTTCCGAGATCGGACGAGATCGGGCGTGTTCAGGGTGGTATGGCCGTAAGCGATGACACAGGCTCCAAATGAGCTATTTCAACGTGCTCCTGTGTGGTTCTCTCAATTATAATCAGCATTTCACTTTCAATGAACAATGCGTCGCTCAAGAAAACACCCGGATACGCAGTCAAGCTTAGTTTTACAGCCTATCTCTGCAGTCCATCATGCTCCACTCCTTTGCTCCGCTTCATGACAAGATCTCAGTCCTCCCGCTCTTTGTGCTTTTTTGACTCTTTCTTTCATTTATCTTGAAGGCTCATCTCCAAGTGTATTTGCATTGGTCCAAGCTAAAGACCAGGCTCCCCAAAGACCCATATCCTAGCCTCTTGGAGAGAGAACACGGCACAAGATACAAGAAAAGAAAAGCTTACAGCACCTGGTATTCCCAGGCGGTCTCCCATCCAAGTACTAACCAGGCCCGACCCTGCTTAGCTTCCGAGATCGGACGAGATCGGGCGTGTTCAGGGTGGTATGGCCGTAAGCGATGACACAGGCTCCAAATGAGCTATTTCAACGTGCTCCTGTGTGGTTCTCTCAATTATAATCAGCATTTCACTTTCAATGAACAATGCGTCGCTCAAGAAAACACCCGGATACGCAGTCAAGCTTAGTTTTACAGCCTATCTCTGCAGTCCATCATGCTCCACTCCTTTGCTCCGCTTCATGACAAGATCTCAGTCCTCCCGCTCTTTGTGCTTTTTTGACTCTTTCTTTCATTTATCTTGAAGGCTCATCTCCAAGTGTATTTGCATTGGTCCAAGCTAAAGACCAGGCTCCCCAAAGACCCATATCCTAGCCTCTTGGAGAGAGAACACGGCACAAGATACAAGAAAAGAAAAGCTTACAGCACCTGGTATTCCCAGGCGGTCTCCCATCCAAGTACTAACCAGGCCCGACCCTGCTTAGCTTCCGAGATCGGACGAGATCGGGCGTGTTTTTTTTTTTTTATCTTTTATTATCAAAAATATATTCACAAAATTCCATCTTTACAAATCACAGTCACAGTCAACAATAAAAATAAAATAAACAACAGAATAGAAAAAACCTTTGGAAAAAAAAACAACATAAATTATATGAACCCAAACAATCTGCAAATTAAAATAAAAGAGCTTCATAAATTAAGTGTGATATTGTTTTGATGTACTGTAAAAAGAGTGTGTCCAGTGTTCAAAAGCTGATTGAAAGTGTCCGGGATGGCGAAGAAGCAGTTTTTCAGATGGTTCAGAAATAGGGTTTTGAAAAAAGGAAGCAGTGACAGAGTCCGGTTTTCGTATAAAGCATAGTTCCTGACAGTCCAGACTGAAAATCTTGTGTAGCTGAGGATGGTGTTGATGATGTGAGTATGCTGATGTGCAGAATTCTTTTTTAGTCCGAATAAAAAAAGCAAAGTCCATTCCGTGTCACTTCCACAGTGGAAATTGCAGGCGCTCTGTATTGTCCGCCGTATTGTGGAGTAGAAGGCTCTTACAAGACTACAATCCAAGAAGAGGTGCTCCAAATCTTCATCCTGTTCATTGCATTTTTTACATTTTCTTTCGTATTTTCCCTTGTTGATTTGATGCAGAACGATGCCTGTGAAAATCCTCCTGTGCTTAATTTTGAAATCTAGATGTTGTAGCGTTGGGGGAGTGAAGAGACCTCCCCCACTGGTCCATATTGATTTGGTGTTAAAACCCGGAAAGATTTGAGCCCAGATCTTTTCGGTAGTTGGAGTTCTTTTGATTTCGGCTATGAGGAGTTTGTACCATGCTTTTGTTTTAATCTCTTGCACTGGGACCGGGTTATTGTTTTGGCACAGGAGGAAATTCAAGTCATCGTTCTGCATCGAGATGTCTTTTGTCTGCATTATTCTTTCCCAAAACAGAGTTACTGTATTTTTTATTTTTTCCGTAATTGACCTTATGCTGCATTTTCTGAAATTAATATTTTTGTTTTTTAGCACACCAAAAATAAAATCTAGTTTGACGCTAAAGTCATCATTCATTATATCTCTGATCCACAACAGACCAGCCTCCATCAGGTGTGAACTCGTTATTGTTTTCCCCTTATGCAAAAAACAAGGGTTTTTAAGGAAGGGTAATCGAAACACATCCTCTTTATTCCTGCATATCGGCATGAGGTGGGGCAGCAATTTGCCCCATGCCTCAACAATCTCCCGGTAGAACGGCTTAAGCTCACCAACTACCTTCTCCGGGTGAAGTATACACAGATTGCGTACGTCCCTCAGCCCGAAGTTGGACAATTGGCTTGCCAGCGCGTCCTCCCAGGGATAGTGCCTGTTTGGATCTAGAAATTTACTAATTAATTTTGCCCTGAGCGCATCTTTTTTGGCTCCAATATCAATCTGCCCTAAACCCCCTCCCTTTTGTTAGCAATTAGCACTCTGTGAGCGATCAGATTTCCCTTTCCTCTCCACAAAAAGGAGGATATTACACTATTGAGTGAATTTAGCGCCCAATGCGGCAACTCACAGACCCCCATTATATGGTTGATTTTGGACAGTACTAGTGCATTTGTTACAATTACCCTTCCTTTTAGTGTTAAACCTCTGGCTTTCCAGAGATTGAGAATATTTTTTGTTTTGGTAATCACTATTTCCCAGTTGGTTCTTGTTGCTTCATTTTCGTTTTTCCCAACATAAACACCCAGGATTCTTTTTGGTTTGTTTACTTCTGCAAAGTTCCATTTATTTACGCTGTCAACATTTGATCCACAAAACATAATCTCGCTCTTTTCCAGGTTCATTTTCGCTCCAGCTACCTTCTCGTAATCATGAATGTGTTTCAAAACCTTATCGATACTATGGCTGTCTAAAACCATGATGTTTATGTCGTCTGCATACTGGGTTATTTTTGTTGTTCTGTTGTAACCTGTTGGTATTCCTTTAATGTCTTTGTCCTGTAGGATATGAAGAGCTAAGGGTTCTGCTACTATTGAATAGAGTAGTGCTGATAGTGGGCAACCTTGTCTAACTGATCTGTTTATTGTGAAAAATTCTGTGAGGAAACCATTGACCTTAATACAGCTTTTTGCATTATTGTAAAGAAGTTTTATCCAGTTGATGAATTTTGAACCGAAACCAAAAGCCTGTAGAATGTTGAAAAGAAAAGTGTGATCAACTCTGTCAAACGCTTTTTCAAGATCTATACTGAGCAGAAACCCTTTGTCTTTCTGCATGTTATGTATTGTTTCTTTTATGGTCAATATGGAATCACTGATGTCTCTTCCTGGTATGCTGTAAGATTGTGTACTATTTATGATGGAACCCGAAACCTGTTTTAGTCTATTTGCTAGAATTTTTGTTAGGATTTTGTAATCAGTATTCAGTAGACTGATGGGGCGGTAATTTTTGATAAGTTTATTGTCACCTTTTTTGAAAATTAGCGAGATTATTCCTTCGGTTAGCGTTGCAGGCACTCTTTTGTTATCCAACATATCTCTGTAAAGTTTATTCAGGAGCGGTGTAAGCTCCTCTTGGAACTTCACATAGAACTCTGCAGTCAGTCCATCTGAACCTGGACTTTTATTTTTGTTTAGCGCCTGTATGGCGTTTTTTATTTCTTCTTCAGTAATTTCTGAATCACACCAGTCTTTATCTTGTCTTTCAAGTTTTTTATTTATACATTTTATATATTCCGGTATTTCTTTTTCTTTTAAGTCCTTCTGTTTGGAGAAAAGCTGTTTGTAAAATTGATATGTATGGTCTAAGATTTCATCAGTTTCAAACAGCGTTTGTCCTTTATTGTCTGTTAGTTGATTGATGTATGATTTGTTCTGTTTCTTTTTTTCCAAGCCGAGAAAAAAAGAAGTGCATTTTTCACCTTCTGTTGTATATTTCACTTTGCTTCTAATGATTGCCCCTTTGCACTTCTTTATTTCTATGTTTCTTAATTGTTCTTTGTAAATTTCATATTGCTCACATGATCTGTGTATGTCAGTGTTTAGCAGTATAGTTTCATCTGCTAAAAATTTTTTTAATTTTATTTCTTCTCTGGTTTCAAACCATTTTTTCCTCTTGCTGTAGTTTATGCAGGTTTTTTTTATTCTGTTTTTTATGTCATCCCATGAATCGGTTATGTTCTCTTTTTCAACTGTTTCAGCTTTGATGTTTTCCAATAAATTTTTTATTTTATATATTAAAGCTTTGTCATTTAGGATGCTGGAGTTTAGACACCATGTGCCAGCTCCTCTAGTTTTATTATCTATGCCTTGTTCCCATTGTAAAATATCGTGATCACTCCATACATTAGGTTTATACTGTATATTGTTAATTTCTTGAATAGTGTTTTTTGCAGCTAGTAAAAGATCAATCCTTGATTGTTTTAGTTTTCCTAGTACTGTCTGTTTTCTGGAGAAGTGGGTGCTATTTGTATTGTTAATTCTCCATAAATCCACCAGGTTGTGCTCTTGCATTATTTTTAGTAATTGTGTTCTGCTTGTGTCATTTCTGAATATATTGTTTGATGATAAGTCTATTTTGTTCAGCACTATGTTGAAATCCCCTACTATTATTGTATTATCATTTATCCATTTTACTATTTCTTTGAGTTGAAATAATCTCTCCCTTTCGTTGTTTTCACCATGAAAGTTTATAATTCTATATGTTTTATTTCTATACAAGATATCTATAATTAAAATTTTACCTCTTTTGTCTTTATAAATCTCTTTACTATGTTCTAGTAAGTTATTATTTATCATAACAGCTACCCCCCTGCTTTCCCCACCCCAAACCCCACAAAGATCTTCCCACAGTAAAGTTTTTGTATTTGAAGAAGGGTTTGAGGTGACCAGCCGGTTTCCTGTAGACAAATAATGTCTTGTTGAGTTGAGTTGAAAAAAGAGACCATTTTATGTGAGGAGCAGAGACCATTAATGTTGAGGGAGATAGCTGTGAACATTATAAGAAAGGAGAAGAGTGGTCTATAAATCATTCCTATTAATCTGAGAAGTCGAAATTTGGACTCAATCTAGGTCAATCAATTTTCCTTCTCCATGTTTTTTCCTGTCCTTTTTTTCTTCCTAATTTCCACCACTTTACCATCTAAATCCGATTCCGATTCTGTCAGAGATGATGTGGGCTTCAGCTTTTCACACGGGCCGAGGTTTTCCCTTCCCGGCCCCACCGGCTGCGCTCTGCTGCCTGTCTTTGCCGCTTTTTTTCGCGGTGGCAGAAACTCAATTCCCTCTGCAAGGGCTGAAGGGGCTTCGGGGGTCTCCGGCGTAGCACGCGCTCTCAGAGCCCCGTCCGTCTCCCTCCCTCGCACATTTTTCTGTGCGGCTCTTGAGCTTGGACTCGGCTCGAAACCCTCACTTTGGGACCCACGAGCCTGGAGTTCCTCCTCCATGTCCACAGAGCTTTCAGCCACAATTACGCACGTCTCATCTGCCCCGTTTCCCTCACTTTCGACGCCACTCATGTGATCATCGTTAGTGGGAGAGCACTGTTGTTGTTCCCCACCCTCACTCTCAGAATTTCTGCAAATGCATCTCCCCATTTCATTAAAACAAATTGTGCACTTGACTGGTGCGTTTGCACACTCCCGTGCGTAATGGCCCTGCTCCCCACATTTATGACATATAAACTCTGGGCATTCTCTGAAAATATGGCCCGGTTGTATGCATAATCTGCATACTTTCACCTGTCTGTCATGTATGACCCTAAAAAATTCAGCACCTGTTGCAGTATTAAATTTTGCCGAGTAAGGCAGTGACTGGATGTCTTTTGTGAATTTTACCTTACAGTATCTTGTACCGTCGGCGATGTTTGTGCCGGGCCACATTCTCCTTTTTATCGGGGATACAGCTGAAACTCCCCACATTTGTAGTTTGTTCTGAATGTCCGAGTCCGGGATGTAAGCAGGCAGGTTCAAAAAAGAGACCACCAGCTCGTCATTTGAAAGCTCCCTCGCCCACACATTCACAGCTCCAATCTTTAGACCCTCCATCAGTCTCTCTTTTCCTTTCCCATGGTTCATCGTGACTTCGTATTTCCTCTCCCCGACATATCTGCATGCCACCACCGCTCCACACGCCAGCCTCACCGCCCTCAGAAGTTCCGTCACCGTCACTTTCTCTTGTCCCTCCAGCTCCAGCATCACTGTCAACTCCTTTCTATAATTCAATTGTAGATCGTCATTCTTCTTTTCTTTCTCCATATTCCTTTTTCCATCTCTTAAACTGTCCGTAGTCGAAACCGTGGGAATTTCTCTGCCGTTTTCCGTGTCTTTTACCATTTTGTCCATCTTGTGAGTCAGCGTTTGTGTGCCGCAGCACACTGAACGCCACGTCACCAAACAAAAAGAGGATCAAAACTCCTCACCCCCAGGCAGTAGAAAACCCCTGCCAGGGGTACAAAACAAAAAAAGATACAAAATACCTACCACTATCTACGATCAAATATCTAACTTACCTAAAAAAACTTTTTTCACTTCTTTCCTCACAATCTCTCTGACTCAAAACTACCGTGTGCATGCACCAAAAAAATGGGCGTGTTCAGGGTGGTATGGCCGTAAGCGATGACACAGGCTCCAAATGAGCTATTTCAACGTGCTCCTGTGTGGTTCTCTCAATTATAATCAGCATTTCACTTTCAATGAACAATGCGTCGCTCAAGAAAACACCCGGATACGCAGTCAAGCTTAGTTTTACAGCCTATCTCTGCAGTCCATCATGCTCCACTCCTTTGCTCCGCTTCATGACAAGATCTCAGTCCTCCCGCTCTTTGTGCTTTTTTGACTCTTTCTTTCATTTATCTTGAAGGCTCATCTCCAAGTGTATTTGCATTGGTCCAAGCTAAAGACCAGGCTCCCCAAAGACCCATATCCTAGCCTCTTGGAGAGAGAACACGGCACAAGATACAAGAAAAGAAAAGCTTACAGCACCTGGTATTCCCAGGCGGTCTCCCATCCAAGTACTAACCAGGCCCGACCCTGCTTAGCTTCCGAGATCGGACGAGATCGGGCGTGTTCAGGGTGGTATGGCCGTAAGCGATGACACAGGCTCCAAATGAGCTATTTCAACGTGCTCCTGTGTGGTTCTCTCAATTATAATCAGCATTTCACTTTCAATGAACAATGCGTCGCTCAAGAAAACACCCGGATACGCAGTCAAGCTTAGTTTTACAGCCTATCTCTGCAGTCCATCATGCTCCACTCCTTTGCTCCGCTTCATGACAAGATCTCAGTCCTCCCGCTCTTTGTGCTTTTTTGACTCTTTCTTTCATTTATCTTGAAGGCTCATCTCCAAGTGTATTTGCATTGGTCCAAGCTAAAGACCAGGCTCCCCAAAGACCCATATCCTAGCCTCTTGGAGAGAGAACACGGCACAAGATACAAGAAAAGAAAAGCTTACAGCACCTGGTATTCCCAGGCGGTCTCCCATCCAAGTACTAACCAGGCCCGACCCTGCTTAGCTTCCGAGATCGGACGAGATCGGGCGTGTTCAGGGTGGTATGGCCGTAAGCGATGACACAGGCTCCAAATGAGCTATTTCAACGTGCTCCTGTGTGGTTCTCTCAATTATAATCAGCATTTCACTTTCAATGAACAATGCGTCGCTCAAGAAAACACCCGGATACGCAGTCAAGCTTAGTTTTACAGCCTATCTCTGCAGTCCATCATGCTCCACTCCTTTGCTCCGCTTCATGACAAGATCTCAGTCCTCCCGCTCTTTGTGCTTTTTTGACTCTTTCTTTCATTTATCTTGAAGGCTCATCTCCAAGTGTATTTGCATTGGTCCAAGCTAAAGACCAGGCTCCCCAAAGACCCATATCCTAGCCTCTTGGAGAGAGAACACGGCACAAGATACAAGAAAAGAAAAGCTTACAGCACCTGGTATTCCCAGGCGGTCTCCCATCCAAGTACTAACCAGGCCCGACCCTGCTTAGCTTCCGAGATCGGACGAGATCGGGCGTGTTCAGGGTGGTATGGCCGTAAGCGATGACACAGGCTCCAAATGAGCTATTTCAACGTGCTCCTGTGTGGTTCTCTCAATTATAATCAGCATTTCACTTTCAATGAACAATGCGTCGCTCAAGAAAACACCCGGATACGCAGTCAAGCTTAGTTTTACAGCCTATCTCTGCAGTCCATCATGCTCCACTCCTTTGCTCCGCTTCATGACAAGATCTCAGTCCTCCCGCTCTTTGTGCTTTTTTGACTCTTTCTTTCATTTATCTTGAAGGCTCATCTCCAAGTGTATTTGCATTGGTCCAAGCTAAAGACCAGGCTCCCCAAAGACCCATATCCTAGCCTCTTGGAGAGAGAACACGGCACAAGATACAAGAAAAGAAAAGCTTACAGCACCTGGTATTCCCAGGCGGTCTCCCATCCAAGTACTAACCAGGCCCGACCCTGCTTAGCTTCCGAGATCGGACGAGATCGGGCGTGTTCAGGGTGGTATGGCCGTAAGCGATGACACAGGCTCCAAATGAGCTATTTGAACGTGCTCCTGTGTGGTTCTCTCAATTATAATCAGCATTTCACTTTCAATGAACAATGCGTCGCTCAAGAAAACACCCGGATACGCAGTCAAGCTTAGTTTTACAGCCTATCTCTGCAGTCCATCATGCTCCACTCCTTTGCTCCGCTTCATGACAAGATCTCAGTCCTCCCGCTCTTTGTGCTTTTTTGACTCTTTCTTTCATTTATCTTGAAGGCTCATCTCCAAGTGTATTTGCATTGGTCCAAGCTAAAGACCAGGCTCCCCAAAGACCCATATCCTAGCCTCTTGGAGAGAGAACACGGCACAAGATACAAGAAAAGAAAAGCTTTACAGCACCTGGTATTCCCAGGCGGTCTCCCATCCAAGTACTAACCAGGCCCGACCCTGCTTAGCTTCCGAGATCGGACGAGATCGGGCGTGTTCAGGGTGGTATGGCCGTAAGCGATGACACAGGCTCCAAATGAGCTATTTGAACGTGCTCCTGTGTGGTTCTCTCAATTATAATCAGCATTTCACTTTCAATGAACAATGCGTCGCTCAAGAAAACACCCGGATACGCAGTCAAGCTTAGTTTTACAGCCTATCTCTGCAGTCCATCATGCTCCACTCCTTTGCTCCGCTTCATGACAAGATCTCAGTCCTCCCGCTCTTTGTGCTTTTTTGACTCTTTCTTTCATTTATCTTGAAGGCTCATCTCCAAGTGTATTTGCATTGGTCCAAGCTAAAGACCAGGCTCCCCAAAGACCCATATCCTAGCCTCTTGGAGAGAGAACACGGCACAAGATACAAGAAAAGAAAAGCTTACAGCACCTGGTATTCCCAGGCGGTCTCCCATCCAAGTACTAACCAGGCCCGACCCTGCTTAGCTTCCGAGATCGGACGAGATCGGGCGTGTTCAGGGTGGTATGGCCGTAAGCGATGACACAGGCTCCAAATGAGCTATTTGAACGTGCTCCTGTGTGGTTCTCTCAATTATAATCAGCATTTCACTTTCAATGAACAATGCGTCGCTCAAGAAAACACCCGGATACGCAGTCAAGCTTAGTTTTACAGCCTATCTCTGCAGTCCATCATGCTCCACTCCTTTGCTCCGCTTCATGACAAGATCTCAGTCCTCCCGCTCTTTGTGCTTTTTTGACTCTTTCTTTCATTTATCTTGAAGGCTCATCTCCAAGTGTATTTGCATTGGTCCAAGCTAAAGACCAGGCTCCCCAAAGACCCATATCCTAGCCTCTTGGAGAGAGAACACGGCACAAGATACAAGAAAAGAAAAGCTTACAGCACCTGGTATTCCCAGGCGGTCTCCCATCCAAGTACTAACCAGGCCCGACCCTGCTTAGCTTCCGAGATCGGACGAGATCGGGCGTGTTCAGGGTGGTATGGCCGTAAGCGATGACACAGGCTCCAAATGAGCTATTTGAACGTGCTCCTGTGTGGTTCTCTCAATTATAATCAGCATTTCACTTTCAATGAACAATGCGTCGCTCAAGAAAACACCCGGATACGCAGTCAAGCTTAGTTTTACAGCCTATCTCTGCAGTCCATCATGCTCCACTCCTTTGCTCCGCTTCATGACAAGATCTCAGTCCTCCCGCTCTTTGTGCTTTTTTGACTCTTTCTTTCATTTATCTTGAAGGCTCATCTCCAAGTGTATTTGCATTGGTCCAAGCTAAAGACCAGGCTCCCCAAAGACCCATATCCTAGCCTCTTGGAGAGAGAACACGGCACAAGATACAAGAAAAGAAAAGCTTACAGCACCTGGTATTCCCAGGCGGTCTCCCATCCAAGTACTAACCAGGCCCGACCCTGCTTAGCTTCCGAGATCGGACGAGATCGGGCGTGTTCAGGGTGGTATGGCCGTAAGCGATGACACAGGCTCCAAATGAGCTATTTGAACGTGCTCCTGTGTGGTTCTCTCAATTATAATCAGCATTTCACTTTCAATGAACAATGCGTCGCTCAAGAAAACACCCGGATACGCAGTCAAGCTTAGTTTTACAGCCTATCTCTGCAGTCCATCATGCTCCACTCCTTTGCTCCGCTTCATGACAAGATCTCAGTCCTCCCGCTCTTTGTGCTTTTTTGACTTTTTCTTTCATTTATCTTGAAGGCTCATCTCCAAGTGTATTTGCATTGGTCCAAGCTAAAGACCAGGCTCCCCAAAGACCCATATCCTAGCCTCTTGGAGAGAGAACACGGCACAAGATACAAGAAAAGAAAAGCTTACAGCACCTGGTATTCCCAGGCGGTCTCCCATCCAAGTACTAACCAGGCCCGACCCTGCTTAGCTTCCGAGATCGGACGAGATCGGGCGTGTTCAGGGTGGTATGGCCGTAAGCGATGACACAGGCTCCAAATGAGCTATTTGAACGTGCTCCTGTGTGGTTCTCTCAATTATAATCAGCATTTCACTTTCAATGAACAATGCGTCGCTCAAGAAAACACCCGGATACGCAGTCAAGCTTAGTTTTACAGCCTATCTCTGCAGTCCATCATGCTCCACTCCTTTGCTCCGCTTCATGACAAGATCTCAGTCCTCCCGCTCTTTGTGCTTTTTTGACTCTTTCTTTCATTTATCTTGAAGGCTCATCTCCAAGTGTATTTGCATTGGTCCAAGCTAAAGACCAGGCTCCCCAAAGACCCATATCCTAGCCTCTTGGAGAGAGAACACGGCACAAGATACAAGAAAAGAAAAGCTTACAGCACCTGGTATTCCCAGGCGGTCTCCCATCCAAGTACTAACCAGGCCCGACCCTGCTTAGCTTCCGAGATCGGACGAGATCGGGCGTGTTCAGGGTGGTATGGCCGTAAGCGATGACACAGGCTCCAAATGAGCTATTTGAACGTGCTCCTGTGTGGTTCTCTCAATTAGAATCAGCATTTCACTTTCAATGAACAATGCGTCGCTCAAGAAAACACCCGGATACGCAGTCAAGCTTAGTTTTACAGCCTATCTCTGCAGTCCATCATGCTCCACTCCTTTGCTCCGCTTCATGACAAGATCTCAGTCCTCCCGCTCTTTGTGCTTTTTTGACTCTTTCTTTCATTTATCTTGAAGGCTCATCTCCAAGTGTATTTGCATTGGTCCAAGCTAAAGACCAGGCTCCCCAAAGACCCATATCCTAGCCTCTTGGAGAGAGAACACGGCACAAGATACAAGAAAAGAAAAGCTTACAGCACCTGGTATTCCCAGGCGGTCTCCCATCCAAGTACTAACCAGGCCCGACCCTGCTTAGCTTCCGAGATCGGACGAGATCGGGCGTGTTCAGGGTGGTATGGCCGTAAGCGATGACACAGGCTCCAAATGAGCTATTTGAACGTGCTCCTGTGTGGTTCTCTCAATTATAATCAGCATTTCACTTTCAATGAACAATGCGTCGCTCAAGAAAACACCCGGATACGCAGTCAAGCTTAGTTTTACAGCCTATCTCTGCAGTCCATCATGCTCCACTCCTTTGCTCCGCTTCATGACAAGATCTCAGTCCTCCCGCTCTTTGTGCTTTTTTGACTCTTTCTTTCATTTATCTTGAAGGCTCATCTCCAAGTGTATTTGCATTGGTCCAAGCTAAAGACCAGGCTCCCCAAAGACCCATATCCTAGCCTCTTGGAGAGAGAACACGGCACAAGATACAAGAAAAGAAAAGCTTACAGCACCTGGTATTCCCAGGCGGTCTCCCATCCAAGTACTAACCAGGCCCGACCCTGCTTAGCTTCCGAGATCGGACGAGATCGGGCGTGTTCAGGGTGGTATGGCCGTAAGCGATGACACAGGCTCCAAATGAGCTATTTGAACGTGCTCCTGTGTGGTTCTCTCAATTATAATCAGCATTTCACTTTCAATGAACAATGCGTCGCTCAAGAAAACACCCGGATACGCAGTCAAGCTTAGTTTTACAGCCTATCTCTGCAGTCCATCATGCTCCACTCCTTTGCTCCGCTTCATGACAAGATCTCAGTCCTCCCGCTCTTTGTGCTTTTTTGACTCTTTCTTTCATTTATCTTGAAGGCTCATCTCCAAGTGTATTTGCATTGGTCCAAGCTAAAGACCAGGCTCCCCAAAGACCCATATCCTAGCCTCTTGGAGAGAGAACACGGCACAAGATACAAGAAAAGAAAAGCTTACAGCACCTGGTATTCCCAGGCGGTCTCCCATCCAAGTACTAACCAGGCCCGACCCTGCTTAGCTTCCGAGATCGGACGAGATCGGGCGTGTTCAGGGTGGTATGGCCGTAAGCGATGACACAGGCTCCAAATGAGCTATTTGAACGTGCTCCTGTGTGGTTCTCTCAATTATAATCAGCATTTCACTTTCAATGAACAATGCGTCGCTCAAGAAAACACCCGGATACGCAGTCAAGCTTAGTTTTACAGCCTATCTCTGCAGTCCATCATGCTCCACTCCTTTGCTCCGCTTCATGACAAGATCTCAGTCCTCCCGCTCTTTGTGCTTTTTTGACTCTTTCTTTCATTTATCTTGAAGGCTCATCTCCAAGTGTATTTGCATTGGTCCAAGCTAAAGACCAGGCTCCCCAAAGACCCATATCCTAGCCTCTTGGAGAGAGAACACGGCACAAGATACAAGAAAAGAAAAGCTTAACAGCACCTGGTATTCCCAGGCGGTCTCCCATCCAAGTACTAACCAGGCCCGACCCTGCTTAGCTTCCGAGATCGGACGAGATCGGGCGTGTTCAGGGTGGTATGGCCGTAAGCGATGACACAGGCTCCAAATGAGCTATTTGAACGTGCTCCTGTGTGGTTCTCTCAATTATAATCAGCATTTCACTTTCAATGAACAATGCGTCGCTCAAGAAAACACCCGGATACGCAGTCAAGCTTAGTTTTACAGCCTATCTCTGCAGTCCATCATGCTCCACTCCTTTGCTCCGCTTCATGACAAGATCTCAGTCCTCCCGCTCTTTGTGCTTTTTTGACTTTTCTTTCATTTATCTTGAAGGCTCATCTCCAAGTGTATTTGCATTGGTCCAAGCTAAAGACCAGGCTCCCCAAAGACCCATATCCTAGCCTCTTGGAGAGAGAACACGGCACAAGATACAAGAAAAGAAAAGCTTACAGCACCTGGTATTCCCAGGCGGTCTCCCATCCAAGTACTAACCAGGCCCGACCCTGCTTAGCTTCCGAGATCGGACGAGATCGGGCGTGTTCAGGGTGGTATGGCCGTAAGCGATGACACAGGCTCCAAATGAGCTATTTGAACGTGCTCCTGTGTGGTTCTCTCAATTATAATCAGCATTTCACTTTCAATGAACAATGCGTCGCTCAAGAAAACACCCGGATACGCAGTCAAGCTTAGTTTTACAGCCTATCTCTGCAGTCCATCATGCTCCACTCCTTTGCTCCGCTTCATGACAAGATCTCAGTCCTCCCGCTCTTTGTGCTTTTTTGACTCTTTCTTTCATTTATCTTGAAGGCTCATCTCCAAGTGTATTTGCATTGGTCCAAGCTAAAGACCAGGCTCCCCAAAGACCCATATCCTAGCCTCTTGGAGAGAGAACACGGCACAAGATACAAGAAAAGAAAAGCTTACAGCACCTGGTATTCCCAGGCGGTCTCCCATCCAAGTACTAACCAGGCCCGACCCTGCTTAGCTTCCGAGATCGGACGAGATCGGGCGTGTTCAGGGTGGTATGGCCGTAAGCGATGACACAGGCTCCAAATGAGCTATTTGAACGTGCTCCTGTGTGGTTCTCTCAATTATAATCAGCATTTCACTTTCAATGAACAATGCGTCGCTCAAGAAAACACCCGGATACGCAGTCAAGCTTAGTTTTACAGCCTATCTCTGCAGTCCATCATGCTCCACTCCTTTGCTCCGCTTCATGACAAGATCTCAGTCCTCCCGCTCTTTGTGCTTTTTTGACTCTTTCTTTCATTTATCTTGAAGGCTCATCTCCAAGTGTATTTGCATTGGTCCAAGCTAAAGACCAGGCTCCCCAAAGACCCATATCCTAGCCTCTTGGAGAGAGAACACGGCACAAGATACAAGAAAAGAAAAGCTTACAGCACCTGGTATTCCCAGGCGGTCTCCCATCCAAGTACTAACCAGGCCCGACCCTGCTTAGCTTCCGAGATCGGACGAGATCGGGCGTGTTCAGGGTGGTATGGCCGTAAGCGATGACACAGGCTCCAAATGAGCTATTTGAACGTGCTCCTGTGTGGTTCTCTCAATTATAATCAGCATTTCACTTTCAATGAACAATGCGTCGCTCAAGAAAACACCCGGATACGCAGTCAAGCTTAGTTTTACAGCCTATCTCTGCAGTCCATCATGCTCCACTCCTTTGCTCCGCTTCATGACAAGATCTCAGTCCTCCCGCTCTTTGTGCTTTTTTGACTTTTCTTTCATTTATCTTGAAGGCTCATCTCCAAGTGTATTTGCATTGGTCCAAGCTAAAGACCAGGCTCCCCAAAGACCCATATCCTAGCCTCTTGGAGAGAGAACACGGCACAAGATACAAGAAAAGAAAAGCTTACAGCACCTGGTATTCCCAGGCGGTCTCCCATCCAAGTACTAACCAGGCCCGACCCTGCTTAGCTTCCGAGATCGGACGAGATCGGGCGTGTTCAGGGTGGTATGGCCGTAAGCGATGACACAGGCTCCAAATGAGCTATTTGAACGTGCTCCTGTGTGGTTCTCTCAATTATAATCAGCATTTCACTTTCAATGAACAATGCGTCGCTCAAGAAAACACCCGGATACGCAGTCAAGCTTAGTTTTACAGCCTATCTCTGCAGTCCATCATGCTCCACTCCTTTGCTCCGCTTCATGACAAGATCTCAGTCCTCCCGCTCTTTGTGCTTTTTTGACTCTTTCTTTCATTTATCTTGAAGGCTCATCTCCAAGTGTATTTGCATTGGTCCAAGCTAAAGACCAGGCTCCCCAAAGACCCATATCCTAGCCTCTTGGAGAGAGAACACGGCACAAGATACAAGAAAAGAAAAGCTTACAGCACCTGGTATTCCCAGGCGGTCTCCCATCCAAGTACTAACCAGGCCCGACCCTGCTTAGCTTCCGAGATCGGACGAGATCGGGCGTGTTCAGGGTGGTATGGCCGTAAGCGATGACACAGGCTCCAAATGAGCTATTTCAACGTGCTCCTGTGTGGTTCTCTCAATTACAATCAGCATTTCACTTTCAATGAACAATGCGTCGCTCAAGAAAACACCCGGATACGCAGTCAAGCTTAGTTTTACAGCCTATCTCTGCAGTCCATCATGCTCCACTCCTTTGCTCCGCTTCATGACAAGATCTCAGTCCTCCCGCTCTTTGTGCTTTTTTGACTCTTTCTTTCATTTATCTTGAAGGCTCATCTCCAAGTGTATTTGCATTGGTCCAAGCTAAAGACCAGGCTCCCCAAAGACCCATATCCTAGCCTCTTGGAGAGAGAACACGGCACAAGATACAAGAAAAGAAAAGCTTACAGCACCTGGTATTCCCAGGCGGTCTCCCATCCAAGTACTAACCAGGCCCGACCCTGCTTAGCTTCCGAGATCGGACGAGATCGGGCGTGTTCAGGGTGGTATGGCCGTAAGCGATGACACAGGCTCCAAATGAGCTATTTGAACGTGCTCCTGTGTGGTTCTCTCAATTATAATCAGCATTTCACTTTCAATGAACAATGCGTCGCTCAAGAAAACACCCGGATACGCAGTCAAGCTTAGTTTTACAGCCTATCTCTGCAGTCCATCATGCTCCACTCCTTTGCTCCGCTTCATGACAAGATCTCAGTCCTCCCGCTCTTTGTGCTTTTTTGACTTTTTCTTTCATTTATCTTGAAGGCTCATCTCCAAGTGTATTTGCATTGGTCCAAGCTAAAGACCAGGCTCCCCAAAGACCCATATCCTAGCCTCTTGGAGAGAGAACACGGCACAAGATACAAGAAAAGAAAAGCTTACAGCACCTGGTATTCCCAGGCGGTCTCCCATCCAAGTACTAACCAGGCCCGACCCTGCTTAGCTTCCGAGATCGGACGAGATCGGGCGTGTTCAGGGTGGTATGGCCGTAAGCGATGACACAGGCTCCAAATGAGCTATTTCAACGTGCTCCTGTGTGGTTCTCTCAATTATAATCAGCATTTCACTTTCAATGAACAATGCGTCGCTCAAGAAAACACCCGGATACGCAGTCAAGCTTAGTTTTACAGCCTATCTCTGCAGTCCATCATGCTCCACTCCTTTGCTCCGCTTCATGACAAGATCTCAGTCCTCCCGCTCTTTGTGCTTTTTTGACTCTTTCTTTCATTTATCTTGAAGGCTCATCTCCAAGTGTATTTGCATTGGTCCAAGCTAAAGACCAGGCTCCCCAAAGACCCATATCCTAGCCTCTTGGAGAGAGAACACGGCACAAGATACAAGAAAAGAAAAGCTTACAGCACCTGGTATTCCCAGGCGGTCTCCCATCCAAGTACTAACCAGGCCCGACCCTGCTTAGCTTCCGAGATCGGACGAGATCGGGCGTGTTCAGGGTGGTATGGCCGTAAGCGATGACACAGGCTCCAAATGAGCTATTTGAACGTGCTCCTGTGTGGTTCTCTCAATTATAATCAGCATTTCACTTTCAATGAACAATGCGTCGCTCAAGAAAACACCCGGATACGCAGTCAAGCTTAGTTTTACAGCCTATCTCTGCAGTCCATCATGCTCCACTCCTTTGCTCCGCTTCATGACAAGATCTCAGTCCTCCCGCTCTTTGTGCTTTTTTGACTCTTTCTTTCATTTATCTTGAAGGCTCATCTCCAAGTGTATTTGCATTGGTCCAAGCTAAAGACCAGGCTCCCCAAAGACCCATATCCTAGCCTCTTGGAGAGAGAACACGGCACAAGATACAAGAAAAGAAAAGCTTACAGCACCTGGTATTCCCAGGCGGTCTCCCATCCAAGTACTAACCAGGCCCGACCCTGCTTAGCTTCCGAGATCGGACGAGATCGGGCGTGTTCAGGGTGGTATGGCCGTAAGCGATGACACAGGCTCCAAATGAGCTATTTCAACGTGCTCCTGTGTGGTTCTCTCAATTATAATCAGCATTTCACTTTCAATGAACAATGCGTCGCTCAAGAAAACACCCGGATACGCAGTCAAGCTTAGTTTTACAGCCTATCTCTGCAGTCCATCATGCTCCACTCCTTTGCTCCGCTTCATGACAAGATCTCAGTCCTCCCGCTCTTTGTGCTTTTTTGACTCTTTCTTTCATTTATCTTGAAGGCTCATCTCCAAGTGTATTTGCATTGGTCCAAGCTAAAGACCAGGCTCCCCAAAGACCCATATCCTAGCCTCTTGGAGAGAGAACACGGCACAAGATACAAGAAAAGAAAAGCTTACAGCACCTGGTATTCCCAGGCGGTCTCCCATCCAAGTACTAACCAGGCCCGACCCTGCTTAGCTTCCGAGATCGGACGAGATCGGGCGTGTTCAGGGTGGTATGGCCGTAAGCGATGACACAGGCTCCAAATGAGCTATTTCAACGTGCTCCTGTGTGGTTCTCTCAATTATAATCAGCATTTCACTTTCAATGAACAATGCGTCGCTCAAGAAAACACCCGGATACGCAGTCAAGCTTAGTTTTACAGCCTATCTCTGCAGTCCATCATGCTCCACTCCTTTGCTCCGCTTCATGACAAGATCTCAGTCCTCCCGCTCTTTGTGCTTTTTTGACTCTTTCTTTCATTTATCTTGAAGGCTCATCTCCAAGTGTATTTGCATTGGTCCAAGCTAAAGACCAGGCTCCCCAAAGACCCATATCCTAGCCTCTTGGAGAGAGAACACGGCACAAGATACAAGAAAAGAAAAGCTTACAGCACCTGGTATTCCCAGGCGGTCTCCCATCCAAGTACTAACCAGGCCCGACCCTGCTTAGCTTCCGAGATCGGACGAGATCGGGCGTGTTCAGGGTGGTATGGCCGTAAGCGATGACACAGGCTCCAAATGAGCTATTTGAACGTGCTCCTGTGTGGTTCTCTCAATTATAATCAGCATTTCACTTTCAATGAACAATGCGTCGCTCAAGAAAACACCCGGATACGCAGTCAAGCTTAGTTTTACAGCCTATCTCTGCAGTCCATCATGCTCCACTCCTTTGCTCCGCTTCATGACAAGATCTCAGTCCTCCCGCTCTTTGTGCTTTTTTGACTCTTTCTTTCATTTATCTTGAAGGCTCATCTCCAAGTGTATTTGCATTGGTCCAAGCTAAAGACCAGGCTCCCCAAAGACCCATATCCTAGCCTCTTGGAGAGAGAACACGGCACAAGATACAAGAAAAGAAAAGCTTACAGCACCTGGTATTCCCAGGCGGTCTCCCATCCAAGTACTAACCAGGCCCGACCCTGCTTAGCTTCCGAGATCGGACGAGATCGGGCGTGTTCAGGGTGGTATGGCCGTAAGCGATGACACAGGCTCCAAATGAGCTATTTGAACGTGCTCCTGTGTGGTTCTCTCAATTATAATCAGCATTTCACTTTCAATGAACAATGCGTCGCTCAAGAAAACACCCGGATACGCAGTCAAGCTTAGTTTTACAGCCTATCTCTGCAGTCCATCATGCTCCACTCCTTTGCTCCGCTTCATGACAAGATCTCAGTCCTCCCGCTCTTTGTGCTTTTTTGACTTTTTCTTTCATTTATCTTGAAGGCTCATCTCCAAGTGTATTTGCATTGGTCCAAGCTAAAGACCAGGCTCCCCAAAGACCCATATCCTAGCCTCTTGGAGAGAGAACACGGCACAAGATACAAGAAAAGAAAAGCTTACAGCACCTGGTATTCCCAGGCGGTCTCCCATCCAAGTACTAACCAGGCCCGACCCTGCTTAGCTTCCGAGATCGGACGAGATCGGGCGTGTTCAGGGTGGTATGGCCGTAAGCGATGACACAGGCTCCAAATGAGCTATTTCAACGTGCTCCTGTGTGGTTCTCTCAATTATAATCAGCATTTCACTTTCAATGAACAATGCGTCGCTCAAGAAAACACCCGGATACGCAGTCAAGCTTAGTTTTACAGCCTATCTCTGCAGTCCATCATGCTCCACTCCTTTGCTCCGCTTCATGACAAGATCTCAGTCCTCCCGCTCTTTGTGCTTTTTGACTCTTTCTTTCATTTATCTTGAAGGCTCATCTCCAAGTGTATTTGCATTGGTCCAAGCTAAAGACCAGGCTCCCCAAAGACCCATATCCTAGCCTCTTGGAGAGAGAACACGGCACAAGATACAAGAAAAGAAAAGCTTACAGCACCTGGTATTCCCAGGCGGTCTCCCATCCAAGTACTAACCAGGCCCGACCCTGCTTAGCTTCCGAGATCGGACGAGATCGGGCGTGTTCAGGGTGGTATGGCCGTAAGCGATGACACAGGCTCCAAATGAGCTATTTCAACGTGCTCCTGTGTGGTTCTCTCAATTATAATCAGCATTTCACTTTCAATGAACAATGCGTCGCTCAAGAAAACACCCGGATACGCAGTCAAGCTTAGTTTTACAGCCTATCTCTGCAGTCCATCATGCTCCACTCCTTTGCTCCGCTTCATGACAAGATCTCAGTCCTCCCGCTCTTTGTGCTTTTTTGACTCTTTCTTTCATTTATCTTGAAGGCTCATCTCCAAGTGTATTTGCATTGGTCCAAGCTAAAGACCAGGCTCCCCAAAGACCCATATCCTAGCCTCTTGGAGAGAGAACACGGCACAAGATACAAGAAAAGAAAAGCTTACAGCACCTGGTATTCCCAGGCGGTCTCCCATCCAAGTACTAACCAGGCCCGACCCTGCTTAGCTTCCGAGATCGGACGAGATCGGGCGTGTTCAGGGTGGTATGGCCGTAAGCGATGACACAGGCTCCAAATGAGCTATTTGAACGTGCTCCTGTGTGGTTCTCTCAATTATAATCAGCATTTCACTTTCAATGAACAATGCGTCGCTCAAGAAAACACCCGGATACGCAGTCAAGCTTAGTTTTACAGCCTATCTCTGCAGTCCATCATGCTCCACTCCTTTGCTCCGCTTCATGACAAGATCTCAGTCCTCCCGCTCTTTGTGCTTTTTTGACTCTTTCTTTCATTTATCTTGAAGGCTCATCTCCAAGTGTATTTGCATTGGTCCAAGCTAAAGACCAGGCTCCCCAAAGACCCATATCCTAGCCTCTTGGAGAGAGAACACGGCACAAGATACAAGAAAAGAAAAGCTTACAGCACCTGGTATTCCCAGGCGGTCTCCCATCCAAGTACTAACCAGGCCCGACCCTGCTTAGCTTCCGAGATCGGACGAGATCGGGCGTGTTCAGGGTGGTATGGCCGTAAGCGATGACACAGGCTCCAAATGAGCTATTTCAACGTGCTCCTGTGTGGTTCTCTCAATTATAATCAGCATTTCACTTTCAATGAACAATGCGTCGCTCAAGAAAACACCCGGATACGCAGTCAAGCTTAGTTTTACAGCCTATCTCTGCAGTCCATCATGCTCCACTCCTTTGCTCCGCTTCATGACAAGATCTCAGTCCTCCCGCTCTTTGTGCTTTTTTGACTTTTTCTTTCATTTATCTTGAAGGCTCATCTCCAAGTGTATTTGCATTGGTCCAAGCTAAAGACCAGGCTCCCCAAAGACCCATATCCTAGCCTCTTGGAGAGAGAACACGGCACAAGATACAAGAAAAGAAAAGCTTACAGCACCTGGTATTCCCAGGCGGTCTCCCATCCAAGTACTAACCAGGCCCGACCCTGCTTAGCTTCCGAGATCGGACGAGATCGGGCGTGTTCAGGGTGGTATGGCCGTAAGCGATGACACAGGCTCCAAATGAGCTATTTCAACGTGCTCCTGTGTGGTTCTCTCAATTATAATCAGCATTTCACTTTCAATGAACAATGCGTCGCTCAAGAAAACACCCGGATACGCAGTCAAGCTTAGTTTTACAGCCTATCTCTGCAGTCCATCATGCTCCACTCCTTTGCTCCGCTTCATGACAAGATCTCAGTCCTCCCGCTCTTTGTGCTTTTTTGACTCTTTCTTTCATTTATCTTGAAGGCTCATCTCCAAGTGTATTTGCATTGGTCCAAGCTAAAGACCAGGCTCCCCAAAGACCCATATCCTAGCCTCTTGGAGAGAGAACACGGCACAAGATACAAGAAAAGAAAAGCTTACAGCACCTGGTATTCCCAGGCGGTCTCCCATCCAAGTACTAACCAGGCCCGACCCTGCTTAGCTTCCGAGATCGGACGAGATCGGGCGTGTTCAGGGTGGTATGGCCGTAAGCGATGACACAGGCTCCAAATGAGCTATTTCAACGTGCTCCTGTGTGGTTCTCTCAATTATAATCAGCATTTCACTTTCAATGAACAATGCGTCGCTCAAGAAAACACCCGGATACGCAGTCAAGCTTAGTTTTACAGCCTATCTCTGCAGTCCATCATGCTCCACTCCTTTGCTCCGCTTCATGACAAGATCTCAGTCCTCCCGCTCTTTGTGCTTTTTTGACTCTTTCTTTCATTTATCTTGAAGGCTCATCTCCAAGTGTATTTGCATTGGTCCAAGCTAAAGACCAGGCTCCCCAAAGACCCATATCCTAGCCTCTTGGAGAGAGAACACGGCACAAGATACAAGAAAAGAAAAGCTTACAGCACCTGGTATTCCCAGGCGGTCTCCCATCCAAGTACTAACCAGGCCCGACCCTGCTTAGCTTCCGAGATCGGACGAGATCGGGCGTGTTCAGGGTGGTATGGCCGTAAGCGATGACACAGGCTCCAAATGAGCTATTTGAACGTGCTCCTGTGTGGTTCTCTCAATTATAATCAGCATTTCACTTTCAATGAACAATGCGTCGCTCAAGAAAACACCCGGATACGCAGTCAAGCTTAGTTTTACAGCCTATCTCTGCAGTCCATCATGCTCCACTCCTTTGCTCCGCTTCATGACAAGATCTCAGTCCTCCCGCTCTTTGTGCTTTTTTGACTTTTTCTTTCATTTATCTTGAAGGCTCATCTCCAAGTGTATTTGCATTGGTCCAAGCTAAAGACCAGGCTCCCCAAAGACCCATATCCTAGCCTCTTGGAGAGAGAACACGGCACAAGATACAAGAAAAGAAAAGCTTACAGCACCTGGTATTCCCAGGCGGTCTCCCATCCAAGTACTAACCAGGCCCGACCCTGCTTAGCTTCCGAGATCGGACGAGATCGGGCGTGTTCAGGGTGGTATGGCCGTAAGCGATGACACAGGCTCCAAATGAGCTATTTCAACGTGCTCCTGTGTGGTTCTCTCAATTATAATCAGCATTTCACTTTCAATGAACAATGCGTCGCTCAAGAAAACACCCGGATACGCAGTCAAGCTTAGTTTTACAGCCTATCTCTGCAGTCCATCATGCTCCACTCCTTTGCTCCGCTTCATGACAAGATCTCAGTCCTCCCGCTCTTTGTGCTTTTTTGACTCTTTCTTTCATTTATCTTGAAGGCTCATCTCCAAGTGTATTTGCATTGGTCCAAGCTAAAGACCAGGCTCCCCAAAGACCCATATCCTAGCCTCTTGGAGAGGGAATACGGCACAAGATACAAGAAAAGAAAAGCTTACAGCACCTGGTATTCCCAGGCGGTCTCCCATCCAAGTACTAACCAGGCCCGACCCTGCTTAGCTTCCGAGATCGGACGAGATCGGGCGTGTTCAGGGTGGTATGGCCGTAAGCGATGACACAGGCTCCAAATGAGCTATTTGAACGTGCTCCTGTGTGGTTCTCTCAATTATAATCAGCATTTCACTTTCAATGAACAATGCGTCGCTCAAGAAAACACCCGGATACGCAGTCAAGCTTAGTTTTACAGCCTATCTCTGCAGTCCATCATGCTCCACTCCTTTGCTCCGCTTCATGACAAGATCTCAGTCCTCCCGCTCTTTGTGCTTTTTTGACTCTTTCTTTCATTTATCTTGAAGGCTCATCTCCAAGTGTATTTGCATTGGTCCAAGCTAAAGACCAGGCTCCCCAAAGACCCATATCCTAGCCTCTTGGAGAGAGAACACGGCACAAGATACAAGAAAAGAAAAGCTTACAGCACCTGGTATTCCCAGGCGGTCTCCCATCCAAGTACTAACCAGGCCCGACCCTGCTTAGCTTCCGAGATCGGACGAGATCGGGCGTGTTCAGGGTGGTATGGCCGTAAGCGATGACACAGGCTCCAAATGAGCTATTTGAACGTGCTCCTGTGTGGTTCTCTCAATTATAATCAGCATTTCACTTTCAATGAACAATGCGTCGCTCAAGAAAACACCCGGATACGCAGTCAAGCTTAGTTTTACAGCCTATCTCTGCAGTCCATCATGCTCCACTCCTTTGCTCCGCTTCATGACAAGATCTCAGTCCTCCCGCTCTTTGTGCTTTTTTGACTCTTTCTTTCATTTATCTTGAAGGCTCATCTCCAAGTGTATTTGCATTGGTCCAAGCTAAAGACCAGGCTCCCCAAAGACCCATATCCTAGCCTCTTGGAGAGAGAACACGGCACAAGATACAAGAAAAGAAAAGCTTACAGCACCTGGTATTCCCAGGCGGTCTCCCATCCAAGTACTAACCAGGCCCGACCCTGCTTAGCTTCCGAGATCGGACGAGATCGGGCGTGTTCAGGGTGGTATGGCCGTAAGCGATGACACAGGCTCCAAATGAGCTATTTCAACGTGCTCCTGTGTGGTTCTCTCAATTATAATCAGCATTTCACTTTCAATGAACAATGCGTCGCTCAAGAAAACACCCGGATACGCAGTCAAGCTTAGTTTTACAGCCTATCTCTGCAGTCCATCATGCTCCACTCCTTTGCTCCGCTTCATGACAAGATCTCAGTCCTCCCGCTCTTTGTGCTTTTTTGACTCTTTCTTTCATTTATCTTGAAGGCTCATCTCCAAGTGTATTTGCATTGGTCCAAGCTAAAGACCAGGCTCCCCAAAGACCCATATCCTAGCCTCTTGGAGAGAGAACACGGCACAAGATACAAGAAAAGAAAAGCTTACAGCACCTGGTATTCCCAGGCGGTCTCCCATCCAAGTACTAACCAGGCCCGACCCTGCTTAGCTTCCGAGATCGGACGAGATCGGGCGTGTTCAGGGTGGTATGGCCGTAAGCGATGACACAGGCTCCAAATGAGCTATTTGAACGTGCTCCTGTGTGGTTCTCTCAATTATAATCAGCATTTCACTTTCAATGAACAATGCGTCGCTCAAGAAAACACCCGGATACGCAGTCAAGCTTAGTTTTACAGCCTATCTCTGCAGTCCATCATGCTCCACTCCTTTGCTCCGCTTCATGACAAGATCTCAGTCCTCCCGCTCTTTGTGCTTTTTTGACTCTTTCTTTCATTTATCTTGAAGGCTCATCTCCAAGTGTATTTGCATTGGTCCAAGCTAAAGACCAGGCTCCCCAAAGACCCATATCCTAGCCTCTTGGAGAGAGAACACGGCACAAGATACAAGAAAAGAAAAGCTTACAGCACCTGGTATTCCCAGGCGGTCTCCCATCCAAGTACTAACCAGGCCCGACCCTGCTTAGCTTCCGAGATCGGACGAGATCGGGCGTGTTCAGGGTGGTATGGCCGTAAGCGATGACACAGGCTCCAAATGAGCTATTTCAACGTGCTCCTGTGTGGTTCTCTCAATTATAATCAGCATTTCACTTTCAATGAACAATGCGTCGCTCAAGAAAACACCCGGATACGCAGTCAAGCTTAGTTTTACAGCCTATCTCTGCAGTCCATCATGCTCCACTCCTTTGCTCCGCTTCATGACAAGATCTCAGTCCTCCCGCTCTTTGTGCTTTTTTGACTTTTTCTTTCATTTATCTTGAAGGCTCATCTCCAAGTGTATTTGCATTGGTCCAAGCTAAAGACCAGGCTCCCCAAAGACCCATATCCTAGCCTCTTGGAGAGAGAACACGGCACAAGATACAAGAAAAGAAAAGCTTACAGCACCTGGTATTCCCAGGCGGTCTCCCATCCAAGTACTAACCAGGCCCGACCCTGCTTAGCTTCCGAGATCGGACGAGATCGGGCGTGTTCAGGGTGGTATGGCCGTAAGCGATGACACAGGCTCCAAATGAGCTATTTCAACGTGCTCCTGTGTGGTTCTCTCAATTATAATCAGCATTTCACTTTCAATGAACAATGCGTCGCTCAAGAAAACACCCGGATACGCAGTCAAGCTTAGTTTTACAGCCTATCTCTGCAGTCCATCATGCTCCACTCCTTTGCTCCGCTTCATGACAAGATCTCAGTCCTCCCGCTCTTTGTGCTTTTTTGACTTTTTCTTTCATTTATCTTGAAGGCTCATCTCCAAGTGTATTTGCATTGGTCCAAGCTAAAGACCAGGCTCCCCAAAGACCCATATCCTAGCCTCTTGGAGAGAGAACACGGCACAAGATACAAGAAAAGAAAAGCTTACAGCACCTGGTATTCCCAGGCGGTCTCCCATCCAAGTACTAACCAGGCCCGACCCTGCTTAGCTTCCGAGATCGGACGAGATCGGGCGTGTTCAGGGTGGTATGGCCGTAAGCGATGACACAGGCTCCAAATGAGCTATTTGAACGTGCTCCTGTGTGGTTCTCTCAATTATAATCAGCATTTCACTTTCAATGAACAATGCGTCGCTCAAGAAAACACCCGGATACGCAGTCAAGCTTAGTTTTACAGCCTATCTCTGCAGTCCATCATGCTCCACTCCTTTGCTCCGCTTCATGACAAGATCTCAGTCCTCCCGCTCTTTGTGCTTTTTTGACTCTTTCTTTCATTTATCTTGAAGGCTCATCTCCAAGTGTATTTGCATTGGTCCAAGCTAAAGACCAGGCTCCCCAAAGACCCATATCCTAGCCTCTTGGAGAGAGAACACGGCACAAGATACAAGAAAAGAAAAGCTTACAGCACCTGGTATTCCCAGGCGGTCTCCCATCCAAGTACTAACCAGGCCCGACCCTGCTTAGCTTCCGAGATCGGACGAGATCGGGCGTGTTCAGGGTGGTATGGCCGTAAGCGATGACACAGGCTCCAAATGAGCTATTTCAACGTGCTCCTGTGTGGTTCTCTCAATTATAATCAGCATTTCACTTTCAATGAACAATGCGTCGCTCAAGAAAACACCCGGATACGCAGTCAAGCTTAGTTTTACAGCCTATCTCTGCAGTCCATCATGCTCCACTCCTTTGCTCCGCTTCATGACAAGATCTCAGTCCTCCCGCTCTTTGTGCTTTTTTGACTCTTTCTTTCATTTATCTTGAAGGCTCATCTCCAAGTGTATTTGCATTGGTCCAAGCTAAAGACCAGGCTCCCCAAAGACCCATATCCTAGCCTCTTGGAGAGAGAACACGGCACAAGATACAAGAAAAGAAAAGCTTACAGCACCTGGTATTCCCAGGCGGTCTCCCATCCAAGTACTAACCAGGCCCGACCCTGCTTAGCTTCCGAGATCGGACGAGATCGGGCGTGTTCAGGGTGGTATGGCCGTAAGCGATGACACAGGCTCCAAATGAGCTATTTCAACGTGCTCCTGTGTGGTTCTCTCAATTATAATCAGCATTTCACTTTCAATGAACAATGCGTCGCTCAAGAAAACACCCGGATACGCAGTCAAGCTTAGTTTTACAGCCTATCTCTGCAGTCCATCATGCTCCACTCCTTTGCTCCGCTTCATGACAAGATCTCAGTCCTCCCGCTCTTTGTGCTTTTTTGACTCTTTCTTTCATTTATCTTGAAGGCTCATCTCCAAGTGTATTTGCATTGGTCCAAGCTAAAGACCAGGCTCCCCAAAGACCCATATCCTAGCCTCTTGGAGAGAGAACACGGCACAAGATACAAGAAAAGAAAAGCTTACAGCACCTGGTATTCCCAGGCGGTCTCCCATCCAAGTACTAACCAGGCCCGACCCTGCTTAGCTTCCGAGATCGGACGAGATCGGGCGTGTTCAGGGTGGTATGGCCGTAAGCGATGACACAGGCTCCAAATGAGCTATTTCAACGTGCTCCTGTGTGGTTCTCTCAATTATAATCAGCATTTCACTTTCAATGAACAATGCGTCGCTCAAGAAAACACCCGGATACGCAGTCAAGCTTAGTTTTACAGCCTATCTCTGCAGTCCATCATGCTCCACTCCTTTGCTCCGCTTCATGACAAGATCTCAGTCCTCCCGCTCTTTGTGCTTTTTTGACTCTTTCTTTCATTTATCTTGAAGGCTCATCTCCAAGTGTATTTGCATTGGTCCAAGCTAAAGACCAGGCTCCCCAAAGACCCATATCCTAGCCTCTTGGAGAGAGAACACGGCACAAGATACAAGAAAAGAAAAGCTTACAGCACCTGGTATTCCCAGGCGGTCTCCCATCCAAGTACTAACCAGGCCCGACCCTGCTTAGCTTCCGAGATCGGACGAGATCGGGCGTGTTCAGGGTGGTATGGCCGTAAGCGATGACACAGGCTCCAAATGAGCTATTTCAACGTGCTCCTGTGTGGTTCTCTCAATTATAATCAGCATTTCACTTTCAATGAACAATGCGTCGCTCAAGAAAACACCCGGATACGCAGTCAAGCTTAGTTTTACAGCCTATCTCTGCAGTCCATCATGCTCCACTCCTTTGCTCCGCTTCATGACAAGATCTCAGTCCTCCCGCTCTTTGTGCTTTTTTGACTCTTTCTTTCATTTATCTTGAAGGCTCATCTCCAAGTGTATTTGCATTGGTCCAAGCTAAAGACCAGGCTCCCCAAAGACCCATATCCTAGCCTCTTGGAGAGAGAACACGGCACAAGATACAAGAAAAGAAAAGCTTACAGCACCTGGTATTCCCAGGCGGTCTCCCATCCAAGTACTAACCAGGCCCGACCCTGCTTAGCTTCCGAGATCGGACGAGATCGGGCGTGTTCAGGGTGGTATGGCCGTAAGCGATGACACAGGCTCCAAATGAGCTATTTCAACGTGCTCCTGTGTGGTTCTCTCAATTATAATCAGCATTTCACTTTCAATGAACAATGCGTCGCTCAAGAAAACACCCGGATACGCAGTCAAGCTTAGTTTTACAGCCTATCTCTGCAGTCCATCATGCTCCACTCCTTTGCTCCACTTCATGACAAGATCTCAGTCCTCCCGCTCTTTGTGCTTTTTTGACTCTTTCTTTCATTTATCTTGAAGGCTCATCTCCAAGTGTATTTGCATTGGTCCAAGCTAAAGACCAGGCTCCCCAAAGACCCATATCCTAGCCTCTTGGAGAGAGAACACGGCACAAGATACAAGAAAAGAAAAGCTTACAGCACCTGGTATTCCCAGGCGGTCTCCCATCCAAGTACTAACCAGGCCCGACCCTGCTTAGCTTCCGAGATCGGACGAGATCGGGCGTGTTCAGGGTGGTATGGCCGTAAGCGATGACACAGGCTCCAAATGAGCTATTTCAACGTGCTCCTGTGTGGTTCTCTCAATTATAATCAGCATTTCACTTTCAATGAACAATGCGTCGCTCAAGAAAACACCCGGATACGCAGTCAAGCTTAGTTTTACAGCCTATCTCTGCAGTCCATCATGCTCCACTCCTTTGCTCCGCTTCATGACAAGATCTCAGTCCTCCCGCTCTTTGTGCTTTTTTGACCTTTTCTTTCATTTATCTTGAAGGCTCATCTCCAAGTGTATTTGCATTGGTCCAAGCTAAAGACCAGGCTCCCCAAAGACCCATATCCTAGCCTCTTGGAGAGAGAACACGGCACAAGATACAAGAAAAGAAAAGCTTACAGCACCTGGTATTCCCAGGCGGTCTCCCATCCAAGTACTAACCAGGCCCGACCCTGCTTAGCTTCCGAGATCGGACGAGATCGGGCGTGTTCAGGGTGGTATGGCCGTAAGCGATGACACAGGCTCCAAATGAGCTATTTCAACGTGCTCCTGTGTGGTTCTCTCAATTATAATCAGCATTTCACTTTCAATGAACAATGCGTCGCTCAAGAAAACACCCGGATACGCAGTCAAGCTTAGTTTTACAGCCTATCTCTGCAGTCCATCATGCTCCACTCCTTTGCTCCGCTTCATGACAAGATCTCAGTCCTCCCGCTCTTTGTGCTTTTTTGACTCTTTCTTTCATTTATCTTGAAGGCTCATCTCCAAGTGTATTTGCATTGGTCCAAGCTAAAGACCAGGCTCCCCAAAGACCCATATCCTAGCCTCTTGGAGAGAGAACACGGCACAAGATACAAGAAAAGAAAAGCTTACAGCACCTGGTATTCCCAGGCGGTCTCCCATCCAAGTACTAACCAGGCCCGACCCTGCTTAGCTTCCGAGATCGGACGAGATCGGGCGTGTTCAGGGTGGTATGGCCGTAAGCGATGACACAGGCTCCAAATGAGCTATTTCAACGTGCTCCTGTGTGGTTCTCTCAATTATAATCAGCATTTCACTTTCAATGAACAATGCGTCGCTCAAGAAAACACCCGGATACGCAGTCAAGCTTAGTTTTACAGCCTATCTCTGCAGTCCATCATGCTCCACTCCTTTGCTCCGCTTCATGACAAGATCTCAGTCCTCCCGCTCTTTGTGCTTTTTTGACTCTTTCTTTCATTTATCTTGAAGGCTCATCTCCAAGTGTATTTGCATTGGTCCAAGCTAAAGACCAGGCTCCCCAAAGACCCATATCCTAGCCTCTTGGAGAGAGAACACGGCACAAGATACAAGAAAAGAAAAGCTTACAGCACCTGGTATTCCCAGGCGGTCTCCCATCCAAGTACTAACCAGGCCCGACCATGCTTAGCTTCCGAGATCGGACGAGATCGGGCGTGTTCAGGGTGGTATGGCCGTAAGCGATGACACAGGCTCCAAATGAGCTATTTCAACGTGCTCCTGTGTGGTTCTCTCAATTATAATCAGCATTTCACTTTCAATGAACAATGCGTCGCTCAAGAAAACACCCGGATACGCAGTCAAGCTTAGTTTTACAGCCTATCTCTGCAGTCCATCATGCTCCACTCCTTTGCTCCACTTCATCACAAGATCTCAGTCCTCCCGCTCTTTGTGCTTTTTTGACTCTTTCTTTCATTTATCTTGAAGGCTCATCTCCAAGTGTATTTGCATTGGTCCAAGCTAAAGACCAGGCTCCCCAAAGACCCATATCCTAGCCTCTTGGAGAGAGAACACGGCACAAGATACAAGAAAAGAAAAGCTTACAGCACCTGGTATTCCCAGGCGGTCTCCCATCCAAGTACTAACCAGGCCCGACCCTGCTTAGCTTCCGAGATCGGACGAGATCGGGCGTGTTCAGGGTGGTATGGCCGTAAGCGATGACACAGGCTCCAAATGAGCTATTTCAACGTGCTCCTGTGTGGTTCTCTCAATTATAATCAGCATTTCACTTTCAATGAACAATGCGTCGCTCAAGAAAACACCCGGATACGCAGTCAAGCTTAGTTTTACAGCCTATCTCTGCAGTCCATCATGCTCCACTCCTTTGCTCCGCTTCATGACAAGATCTCAGTCCTCCCGCTCTTTGTGCTTTTTTGACTCTTTCTTTCATTTATCTTGAAGGCTCATCTCCAAGTGTATTTGCATTGGTCCAAGCTAAAGACCAGGCTCCCCAAAGACCCATATCCTAGCCTCTTGGAGAGAGAACACGGCACAAGATACAAGAAAAGAAAAGCTTACAGCACCTGGTATTCCCAGGCGGTCTCCCATCCAAGTACTAACCAGGCCCGACCCTGCTTAGCTTCCGAGATCGGACGAGATCGGGCGTGTTCAGGGTGGTATGGCCGTAAGCGATGACACAGGCTCCAAATGAGCTATTTCAACGTGCTCCTGTGTGGTTCTCTCAATTATAATCAGCATTTCACTTTCAATGAACAATGCGTCGCTCAAGAAAACACCCGGATACGCAGTCAAGCTTAGTTTTACAGCCTATCTCTGCAGTCCATCATGCTCCACTCCTTTGCTCCGCTTCATGACAAGATCTCAGTCCTCCCGCTCTTTGTGCTTTTTTGACTCTTTCTTTCATTTATCTTGAAGGCTCATCTCCAAGTGTATTTGCATTGGTCCAAGCTAAAGACCAGGCTCCCCAAAGACCCATATCCTAGCCTCTTGGAGAGAGAACACGGCACAAGATACAAGAAAAGAAAAGCTTACAGCACCTGGTATTCCCAGGCGGTCTCCCATCCAAGTACTAACCAGGCCCGACCCTGCTTAGCTTCCGAGATCGGACGAGATCGGGCGTGTTCAGGGTGGTATGGCCGTAAGCGATGACACAGGCTCCAAATGAGCTATTTCAACGTGCTCCTGTGTGGTTCTCTCAATTATAATCAGCATTTCACTTTCAATGAACAATGCGTCGCTCAAGAAAACACCCGGATACGCAGTCAAGCTTAGTTTTACAGCCTATCTCTGCAGTCCATCATGCTCCACTCCTTTGCTCCGCTTCATGACAAGATCTCAGTCCTCCCGCTCTTTGTGCTTTTTTGACTTTTTCTTTCATTTATCTTGAAGGCTCATCTCCAAGTGTATTTGCATTGGTCCAAGCTAAAGACCAGGCTCCCCAAAGACCCATATCCTAGCCTCTTGGAGAGAGAACACGGCACAAGATACAAGAAAAGAAAAGCTTACAGCACCTGGTATTCCCAGGCGGTCTCCCATCCAAGTACTAACCAGGCCCGACCCTGCTTAGCTTCCGAGATCGGACGAGATCGGGCGTGTTCAGGGTGGTATGGCCGTAAGCGATGACACAGGCTCCAAATGAGCTATTTCAACGTGCTCCTGTGTGGTTCTCTCAATTATAATCAGCATTTCACTTTCAATGAACAATGCGTCGCTCAAGAAAACACCCGGATACGCAGTCAAGCTTAGTTTTACAGCCTATCTCTGCAGTCCATCATGCTCCACTCCTTTGCTCCGCTTCATGACAAGATCTCAGTCCTCCCGCTCTTTGTGCTTTTTTGACTCTTTCTTTCATTTATCTTGAAGGCTCATCTCCAAGTGTATTTGCATTGGTCCAAGCTAAAGACCAGGCTCCCCAAAGACCCATATCCTAGCCTCTTGGAGAGAGAACACGGCACAAGATACAAGAAAAGAAAAGCTTACAGCACCTGGTATTCCCAGGCGGTCTCCCATCCAAGTACTAACCAGGCCCGACCCTGCTTAGCTTCCGAGATCGGACGAGATCGGGCGTGTTCAGGGTGGTATGGCCGTAAGCGATGACACAGGCTCCAAATGAGCTATTTGAACGTGCTCCTGTGTGGTTCTCTCAATTATAATCAGCATTTCACTTTCAATGAACAATGCGTCGCTCAAGAAAACACCCGGATACGCAGTCAAGCTTAGTTTTACAGCCTATCTCTGCAGTCCATCATGCTCCACTCCTTTGCTCCGCTTCATGACAAGATCTCAGTCCTCCCGCTCTTTGTGCTTTTTTGACTCTTTCTTTCATTTATCTTGAAGGCTCATCTCCAAGTGTATTTGCATTGGTCCAAGCTAAAGACCAGGCTCCCCAAAGACCCATATCCTAGCCTCTTGGAGAGAGAACACGGCACAAGATACAAGAAAAGAAAAGCTTACAGCACCTGGTATTCCCAGGCGGTCTCCCATCCAAGTACTAACCAGGCCCGACCCTGCTTAGCTTCCGAGATCGGACGAGATCGGGCGTGTTCAGGGTGGTATGGCCGTAAGCGATGACACAGGCTCCAAATGAGCTATTTCAACGTGCTCCTGTGTGGTTCTCTCAATTATAATCAGCATTTCACTTTCAATGAACAATGCGTCGCTCAAGAAAACACCCGGATACGCAGTCAAGCTTAGTTTTACAGCCTATCTCTGCAGTCCATCATGCTCCACTCCTTTGCTCCGCTTCATGACAAGATCTCAGTCCTCCCGCTCTTTGTGCTTTTTTGACTCTTTCTTTCATTTATCTTGAAGGCTCATCTCCAAGTGTATTTGCATTGGTCCAAGCTAAAGACCAGGCTCCCCAAAGACCCATATCCTAGCCTCTTGGAGAGAGAACACGGCACAAGATACAAGAAAAGAAAAGCTTACAGCACCTGGTATTCCCAGGCGGTCTCCCATCCAAGTACTAACCAGGCCCGACCCTGCTTAGCTTCCGAGATCGGACGAGATCGGGCGTGTTCAGGGTGGTATGGCCGTAAGCGATGACACAGGCTCCAAATGAGCTATTTCAACGTGCTCCTGTGTGGTTCTCTCAATTATAATCAGCATTTCACTTTCAATGAACAATGCGTCGCTCAAGAAAACACCCGGATACGCAGTCAAGCTTAGTTTTACAGCCTATCTCTGCAGTCCATCATGCTCCACTCCTTTGCTCCGCTTCATGACAAGATCTCAGTCCTCCCGCTCTTTGTGCTTTTTTGACTCTTTCTTTCATTTATCTTGAAGGCTCATCTCCAAGTGTATTTGCATTGGTCCAAGCTAAAGACCAGGCTCCCCAAAGACCCATATCCTAGCCTCTTGGAGAGAGAACACGGCACAAGATACAAGAAAAGAAAAGCTTACAGCACCTGGTATTCCCAGGCGGTCTCCCATCCAAGTACTAACCAGGCCCGACCCTGCTTAGCTTCCGAGATCGGACGAGATCGGGCGTGTTCAGGGTGGTATGGCCGTAAGCGATGACACAGGCTCCAAATGAGCTATTTGAACGTGCTCCTGTGTGGTTCTCTCAATTATAATCAGCATTTCACTTTCAATGAACAATGCGTCGCTCAAGAAAACACCCGGATACGCAGTCAAGCTTAGTTTTACAGCCTATCTCTGCAGTCCATCATGCTCCACTCCTTTGCTCCGCTTCATGACAAGATCTCAGTCCTCCCGCTCTTTGTGCTTTTTTGACTTTTTCTTTCATTTATCTTGAAGGCTCATCTCCAAGTGTATTTGCATTGGTCCAAGCTAAAGACCAGGCTCCCCAAAGACCCATATCCTAGCCTCTTGGAGAGAGAACACGGCACAAGATACAAGAAAAGAAAAGCTTACAGCACCTGGTATTCCCAGGCGGTCTCCCATCCAAGTACTAACCAGGCCCGACCCTGCTTAGCTTCCGAGATCGGACGAGATCGGGCGTGTTCAGGGTGGTATGGCCGTAAGCGATGACACAGGCTCCAAATGAGCTATTTCAACGTGCTCCTGTGTGGTTCTCTCAATTATAATCAGCATTTCACTTTCAATGAACAATGCGTCGCTCAAGAAAACACCCGGATACGCAGTCAAGCTTAGTTTTACAGCCTATCTCTGCAGTCCATCATGCTCCACTCCTTTGCTCCGCTTCATGACAAGATCTCAGTCCTCCCGCTCTTTGTGCTTTTTTGACTCTTTCTTTCATTTATCTTGAAGGCTCATCTCCAAGTGTATTTGCATTGGTCCAAGCTAAAGACCAGGCTCCCCAAAGACCCATATCCTAGCCTCTTGGAGAGAGAACACGGCACAAGATACAAGAAAAGAAAAGCTTCAGCACCTGGTATTCCCAGGCGGTCTCCCATCCAAGTACTAACCAGGCCCGACCCTGCTTAGCTTCCGAGATCGGACGAGATCGGGCGTGTTCAGGGTGGTATGGCCGTAAGCGATGACACAGGCTCCAAATGAGCTATTTGAACGTGCTCCTGTGTGGTTCTCTCAATTATAATCAGCATTTCACTTTCAATGAACAATGCGTCGCTCAAGAAAACACCCGGATACGCAGTCAAGCTTAGTTTTACAGCCTATCTCTGCAGTCCATCATGCTCCACTCCTTTGCTCCGCTTCATGACAAGATCTCAGTCCTCCCGCTCTTTGTGCTTTTTTGACTCTTTCTTTCATTTATCTTGAAGGCTCATCTCCAAGTGTATTTGCATTGGTCCAAGCTAAAGACCAGGCTCCCCAAAGACCCATATCCTACCCTCTTGGAGAGGGAATACGGCACAAGATACAAGAAAAGAAAAGCTTACAGCACCTGGTATTCCCAGGCGGTCTCCCATCCAAGTACTAACCAGGCCCGACCCTGCTTAGCTTCCGAGATCGGACGAGATCGGGCGTGTTCAGGGTGGTATGGCCGTAAGCGATGACACAGGCTCCAAATGAGCTATTTCAACGTGCTCCTGTGTGGTTCTCTCAATTATAATCAGCATTTCACTTTCAATGAACAATGCGTCGCTCAAGAAAACACCCGGATACGCAGTCAAGCTTAGTTTTACAGCCTATCTCTGCAGTCCATCATGCTCCACTCCTTTGCTCCGCTTCATGACAAGATCTCAGTCCTCCCGCTCTTTGTGCTTTTTTGACTCTTTCTTTCATTTATCTTGAAGGCTCATCTCCAAGTGTATTTGCATTGGTCCAAGCTAAAGACCAGGCTCCCCAAAGACCCATATCCTAGCCTCTTGGAGAGAGAACACGGCACAAGATACAAGAAAAGAAAAGCTTACAGCACCTGGTATTCCCAGGCGGTCTCCCATCCAAGTACTAACCAGGCCCGACCCTGCTTAGCTTCCGAGATCGGACGAGATCGGGCGTGTTCAGGGTGGTATGGCCGTAAGCGATGACACAGGCTCCAAATGAGCTATTTCAACGTGCTCCTGTGTGGTTCTCTCAATTATAATCAGCATTTCACTTTCAATGAACAATGCGTCGCTCAAGAAAACACCCGGATACGCAGTCAAGCTTAGTTTTACAGCCTATCTCTGCAGTCCATCATGCTCCACTCCTTTGCTCCGCTTCATGACAAGATCTCAGTCCTCCCGCTCTTTGTGCTTTTTTGACTCTTTCTTTCATTTATCTTGAAGGCTCATCTCCAAGTGTATTTGCATTGGTCCAAGCTAAAGACCAGGCTCCCCAAAGACCCATATCCTAGCCTCTTGGAGAGAGAACACGGCACAAGATACAAGAAAAGAAAAGCTTACAGCACCTGGTATTCCCAGGCGGTCTCCCATCCAAGTACTAACCAGGCCCGACCCTGCTTAGCTTCCGAGATCGGACGAGATCGGGCGTGTTCAGGGTGGTATGGCCGTAAGCGATGACACAGGCTCCAAATGAGCTATTTCAACGTGCTCCTGTGTGGTTCTCTCAATTATAATCAGCATTTCACTTTCAATGAACAATGCGTCGCTCAAGAAAACACCCGGATACGCAGTCAAGCTTAGTTTTACAGCCTATCTCTGCAGTCCATCATGCTCCACTCCTTTGCTCCGCTTCATGACAAGATCTCAGTCCTCCCGCTCTTTGTGCTTTTTTGACTTTTTCTTTCATTTATCTTGAAGGCTCATCTCCAAGTGTATTTGCATTGGTCCAAGCTAAAGACCAGGCTCCCCAAAGACCCATATCCTAGCCTCTTGGAGAGAGAACACGGCACAAGATACAAGAAAAGAAAAGCTTACAGCACCTGGTATTCCCAGGCGGTCTCCCATCCAAGTACTAACCAGGCCCGACCCTGCTTAGCTTCCGAGATCGGACGAGATCGGGCGTGTTCAGGGTGGTATGGCCGTAAGCGATGACACAGGCTCCAAATGAGCTATTTCAACGTGCTCCTGTGTGGTTCTCTCAATTATAATCAGCATTTCACTTTCAATGAACAATGCGTCGCTCAAGAAAACACCCGGATACGCAGTCAAGCTTAGTTTTACAGCCTATCTCTGCAGTCCATCATGCTCCACTCCTTTGCTCCGCTTCATGACAAGATCTCAGTCCTCCCGCTCTTTGTGCTTTTTTGACTTTTTCTTTCATTTATCTTGAAGGCTCATCTCCAAGTGTATTTGCATTGGTCCAAGCTAAAGACCAGGCTCCCCAAAGACCCATATCCTAGCCTCTTGGAGAGAGAACACGGCACAAGATACAAGAAAAGAAAAGCTTACAGCACCTGGTATTCCCAGGCGGTCTCCCATCCAAGTACTAACCAGGCCCGACCCTGCTTAGCTTCCGAGATCGGACGAGATCGGGCGTGTTCAGGGTGGTATGGCCGTAAGCGATGACACAGGCTCCAAATGAGCTATTTCAACGTGCTCCTGTGTGGTTCTCTCAATTATAATCAGCATTTCACTTTCAATGAACAATGCGTCGCTCAAGAAAACACCCGGATACGCAGTCAAGCTTAGTTTTACAGCCTATCTCTGCAGTCCATCATGCTCCACTCCTTTGCTCCGCTTCATGACAAAGATCTCAGTCCTCCCGCTCTTTGTGCTTTTTTGACTCTTTCTTTCATTTATCTTGAAGGCTCATCTCCAAGTGTATTTGCATTGGTCCAAGCTAAAGACCAGGCTCCCCAAAGACCCATATCCTAGCCTCTTGGAGAGAGAACACGGCACAAGATACAAGAAAAGAAAAGCTTACAGCACCTGGTATTCCCAGGCGGTCTCCCATCCAAGTACTAACCAGGCCCGACCCTGCTTAGCTTCCGAGATCGGACGAGATCGGGCGTGTTCAGGGTGGTATGGCCGTAAGCGATGACACAGGCTCCAAATGAGCTATTTCAACGTGCTCCTGTGTGGTTCTCTCAATTATAATCAGCATTTCACTTTCAATGAACAATGCGTCGCTCAAGAAAACACCCGGATACGCAGTCAAGCTTAGTTTTACAGCCTATCTCTGCAGTCCATCATGCTCCACTCCTTTGCTCCGCTTCATGACAAGATCTCAGTCCTCCCGCTCTTTGTGCTTTTTTGACTCTTTCTTTCATTTATCTTGAAGGCTCATCTCCAAGTGTATTTGCATTGGTCCAAGCTAAAGACCAGGCTCCCCAAAGACCCATATCCTAGCCTCTTGGAGAGAGAACACGGCACAAGATACAAGAAAAGAAAAGCTTACAGCACCTGGTATTCCCAGGCGGTCTCCCATCCAAGTACTAACCAGGCCCGACCCTGCTTAGCTTCCGAGATCGGACGAGATGGGGCGTGTTCAGGGTGGTATGGCCGTAAGCGATGACACAGGCTCCAAATGAGCTATTTGAACGTGCTCCTGTGTGGTTCTCTCAATTATAATCAGCATTTCACTTTCAATGAACAATGCGTCGCTCAAGAAAACACCCGGATACGCAGTCAAGCTTAGTTTTACAGCCTATCTCTGCAGTCCATCATGCTCCACTCCTTTGCTCCGCTTCATGACAAGATCTCAGTCCTCCCGCTCTTTGTGCTTTTTTGACTCTTTCTTTCATTTATCTTGAAGGCTCATCTCCAAGTGTATTTGCATTGGTCCAAGCTAAAGACCAGGCTCCCCAAAGACCCATATCCTAGCCTCTTGGAGAGAGAACACGGCACAAGATACAAGAAAAGAAAAGCTTACAGCACCTGGTATTCCCAGGCGGTCTCCCATCCAAGTACTAACCAGGCCCGACCCTGCTTAGCTTCCGAGATCGGACGAGATCGGGCGTGTTCAGGGTGGTATGGCCGTAAGCGATGACACAGGCTCCAAATGAGCTATTTCAACGTGCTCCTGTGTGGTTCTCTCAATTATAATCAGCATTTCACTTTCAATGAACAATGCGTCGCTCAAGAAAACACCCGGATACGCAGTCAAGCTTAGTTTTACAGCCTATCTCTGCAGTCCATCATGCTCCACTCCTTTGCTCCGCTTCATGACAAGATCTCAGTCCTCCCGCTCTTTGTGCTTTTTTGACTCTTTCTTTCATTTATCTTGAAGGCTCATCTCCAAGTGTATTTGCATTGGTCCAAGCTAAAGACCAGGCTCCCCAAAGACCCATATCCTAGCCTCTTGGAGAGAGAACACGGCACAAGATACAAGAAAAGAAAAGCTTACAGCACCTGGTATTCCCAGGCGGTCTCCCATCCAAGTACTAACCAGGCCCGACCCTGCTTAGCTTCCGAGATCGGACGAGATCGGGCGTGTTCAGGGTGGTATGGCCGTAAGCGATGACACAGGCTCCAAATGAGCTATTTCAACGTGCTCCTGTGTGGTTCTCTCAATTATAATCAGCATTTCACTTTCAATGAACAATGCGTCGCTCAAGAAAACACCCGGATACGCAGTCAAGCTTAGTTTTACAGCCTATCTCTGCAGTCCATCATGCTCCACTCCTTTGCTCCACTTCATGACAAGATCTCAGTCCTCCCGCTCTTTGTGCTTTTTTGACTCATTCTTTCATTTATCTTGAAGGCTCATCTCCAAGTGTATTTGCATTGGTCCAAGCTAAAGACCAGGCTCCCCAAAGACCCATATCCTAGCCTCTTGGAGAGGGAATACGGCACAAGATACAAGAAAAGAAAAGCTTACAGCACCTGGTATTCCCAGGCGGTCTCCCAGCCAAGTACTAACCAGGCCCGACCCTGCTTAGCTTCCGAGATCGGATGAGATCGGGCGTGTTCAGGGTGGTATGGCCGTAAGCGATGACACAGGCTCCAAATGAGCTATTTGAACGTGCTCCTGTGTGGTTCTCTCAATTATAATCAGCATTTCACTTTCAATGAACAATGCGTCGCTCAAGAAAACACCCGGATACGCAGTCAAGCTTAGTTTTACAGCCTATCTCTGCAGTCCATCATGCTCCACTCCTTTGCTCCGCTTCATGACAAGATCTCAGTCCTCCCGCTCTTTGTGCTTTTTTGACCTTTTCTTTCATTTATCTTGAAGGCTCATCTCCAAGTGTATTTGCATTGGTCCAAGCTAAAGACCAGGCTCCCCAAAGACCCATATCCTAGCCTCTTGGAGAGAGAACACGGCACAAGATACAAGAAAAGAAAAGCTTACAGCACCTGGTATTCCCAGGCGGTCTCCCATCCAAGTACTAACCAGGCCCGACCCTGCTTAGCTTCCGAGATCGGACGAGATCGGGCGTGTTCAGGGTGGTATGGCCGTAAGCGATGACACAGGCTCCAAATGAGCTATTTGAACGTGCTCCTGTGTGGTTCTCTCAATTATAATCAGCATTTCACTTTCAATGAACAATGCGTCGCTCAAGAAAACACCCGGATACGCAGTCAAGCTTAGTTTTACAGCCTATCTCTGCAGTCCATCATGCTCCACTCCTTTGCTCCGCTTCATGACAAGATCTCAGTCCTCCCGCTCTTTGTGCTTTTTTGACATTTTCTTTCATTTATCTTGAAGGCTCATCTCCAAGTGTATTTGCATTGGTCCAAGCTAAAGACCAGGCTCCCCAAAGACCCATATCCTAGCCTCTTGGAGAGAGAACACGGCACAAGATACAAGAAAAGAAAAGCTTACAGCACCTGGTATTCCCAGGCGGTCTCCCATCCAAGTACTAACCAGGCCCGACCCTGCTTAGCTTCCGAGATCGGACGAGATCGGGCGTGTTCAGGGTGGTATGGCCGTAAGCGATGACACAGGCTTCAAATGAGCTATTTGAACGTGCTCCTGTGTGGTTCTCTCAATTATAATCAGCATTTCACTTTCAATGAACAATGCGTCGCTCAAGAAAACACCCGCATACGCAGTCAAGCTTAGTTTTACAGCCTATCTCTGCAGTCCATCATGCTCCACTCCTTTGCTCCGCTTCATGACAAGATCTCAGTCCTCCCGCTCTTTGTGCTTTTTGACTTTTTCTTTCATTTATCTTGAAGGCTCATCTCCAAGTGTATTTGCATTGGTCCAAGCTAAAGACCAGGCTCCCCAAAGACCCATATCCTAGCCTCTTGGAGAGAGAACACGGCACAAGATACAAGAAAAGAAAAGCTTACAGCACCTGGTATTCCCAGGCGGTCTCCCATCCAAGTACTAACCAGGCCCGACCCTGCTTAGCTTCCGAGATCGGACGAGATCGGGCGTGTTTTTTTTTTTATCTTTTATTATCAAAAATATATTCACAAAATTCCATCTTTACAAATCACAGTCACAGTCAACAATAAAAATAAAATAAACAACATAATAGAAAAAACCTTTGGAAAAAAAAAAACAACATAAATTATATGAACCCAAACAATCTGCAAATTAAAATAAAAGAGCTTCATAAATTAAGTGTGATATTGTTTTGATGTACTGTAAAAAGAGTGTGTCCAGTGTTCAAAAGCTGATTGAAAGTGTCCGGGATGGCGAAGAAGCAGTTTTTCAGATGGTTCAGAAATAGGGTTTTGAAAAAAGGAAGCAGTGACAGAGTCCGGTTTTCGTATAAAGCATAGTTCCTGACAGTCCAGACTGAAAATCTTGTGTAGCTGAGGATGGTGTTGATGATGTGAGTATGCTGATGTGCAGAATTCTTTTTTAGTCCGAATAAAAAAAGCAAAGTCCATTCCGTGTCACTTCCACAGTGGAAATTGCAGGCGCTCTGTATTGTCCGCCGTATTGTGGAGTAGAAGGCTCTTACAAGACTACAATCCAAGAAGAGGTGCTCCAAATCTTCATCCTGTTCATTGCATTTTTTACATTTTCTTTCGTATTTTCCCTTGTTGATTTGATGCAGAACGATGCCTGTGAAAATCCTCCTGTGCTTAATTTTGAAATCTAGATGTTGTAGCGTTGGGGGAGTGAAGAGACCTCCCCCACTGGTCCATATTGATTTGGTGTTAAAACCCGGAAAGATTTGAGCCCAGATCTTTTCGGTAGTTGGAGTTCTTTTGATTTCGGCTATGAGGAGTTTGTACCATGCTTTTGTTTTAATCTCTTGCACTGGGACCGGGTTATTGTTTTGGCACAGGAGGAAATTCAAGTCATCGTTCTGCATCGAGATGTCTTTTGTCTGCATTATTCTTTCCCAAAACAGAGTTACTGTATTTTTTATTTTTTCCGTAATTGACCTTATGCTGCATTTTCTGAAATTAATATTTTTGTTTTTTAGCACACCAAAAATAAAATCTAGTTTGACGCTAAAGTCATCATTCATTATATCTCTGATCCACAACAGACCAGCCTCCATCAGGTGTGAACTCGTTATTGTTTTCCCCTTATGCAAAAAACAAGGGTTTTTAAGGAAGGGTAATCGAAACACATCCTCTTTATTCCTGCATATCGGCATGAGGTGGGGCAGCAATTTGCCCCATGCCTCAACAATCTCCCGGTAGAACGGCTTAAGCTCACCAACTACCTTCTCCGGGTGAAGTATACACAGATTGCGTACGTCCCTCAGCCCGAAGTTGGACAATTGGCTTGCCAGCGCGTCCTCCCAGGGATAGTGCCTGTTTGGATCTAGAAATTTACTAATTAATTTTGCCCTGAGCGCATCTTTTTTGGCTCCAATATCAATCTGCCCTAAACCCCCCTCCCTTTTGTTAGCAATTAGCACTCTGTGAGCGATCAGATTTCCCTTTCCTCTCCACAAAAAGGAGGATATTACACTATTGAGTGAATTTAGCGCCCAATGCGGCAACTCACAGACCCCCATTATATGGTTGATTTTGGACAGTACTAGTGCATTTGTTACAATTACCCTTCCTTTTAGTGTTAAACCTCTGGCTTTCCAGAGATTGAGAATATTTTTTGTTTTGGTAATCACTATTTCCCAGTTGGTTCTTGTTGCTTCATTTTCGTTTTTCCCAACATAAACACCCAGGATTCTTTTTGGTTTGTTTACTTCTGCAAAGTTCCATTTATTTACGCTGTCAACATTTGATCCACAAAACATAATCTCGCTCTTTTCCAGGTTCATTTTCGCTCCAGCTACCTTCTCGTAATCATGAATGTGTTTCAAAACCTTATCGATACTATGGCTGTCTAAAACCATGATGTTTATGTCGTCTGCATACTGGGTTATTTTTGTTGTTCTGTTGTAACCTGTTGGTATTCCTTTAATGTCTTTGTCCTGTAGGATATGAAGAGCTAAGGGTTCTGCTACTATTGAATAGAGTAGTGCTGATAGTGGGCAACCTTGTCTAACTGATCTGTTTATTGTGAAAAATTCTGTGAGGAAACCATTGACCTTAATACAGCTTTTTGCATTATTGTAAAGAAGTTTTATCCAGTTGATGAATTTTGAACCGAAACCAAAAGCCTGTAGAATATTGAAAAGAAAAGTGTGATCAACTCTGTCAAACGCTTTTTCAAGATCTATACTGAGCAGAAACCCTTTGTCTTTCTGCATGTTATGTATTGTTTCTTTTATGGTCAATATGGAATCACTGATGTCTCTTCCTGGTATGCTGTAAGATTGTGTACTATTTATGATGGAACCCGAAACCTGTTTTAGTCTATTTGCTAGAATTTTTGTTAGGATTTTGTAATCAGTATTCAGTAGACTGATGGGGCGGTAATTTTTGATAAGTTTATTGTCACCTTTTTTGAAAATTAGCGAGATTATTCCTTCGGTTAGCGTTGCAGGCACTCTTTTGTTATCCAACATATCTCTGTAAAGTTTATTCAGGAGCGGTGTAAGCTCCTCTTGGAACTTCACATAGAACTCTGCAGTCAGTCCATCTGAACCTGGACTTTTATTTTTGTTTAGCGCCTGTATGGCGTTTTTTATTTCTTCTTCAGTAATTTCTGAATCACACCAGTCTTTATCTTGTCTTTCAAGTTTTTTATTTATACATTTTATATATTCCGGTATTTCTTTTTCTTTTAAGTCCTTCTGTTTGGAGAAAAGCTGTTTGTAAAATTGATATGTATGGTCTAAGATTTCATCAGTTTCAAACAGCGTTTGTCCTTTATTGTCTGTTAGTTGATTGATGTATGATTTGTTCTGTTTCTTTTTTTTCCAAGCCGAGAAAAAAAGAAGTGCATTTTTCACCTTCTGTTGTGTATTTCACTTTGCTTCTAATGATTGCCCCTTTGCACTTCTTTATTTCTATGTTTCTTAATTGTTCTTTGTAAATTTCATATTGCTCACATGATCTGTGTATGTCAGTGTTTAGCAGTACAGTTTCATCTGCTAAAAATTTTTTTAATTTTTTTTCTTCTCTGGTTTCAAACCATTTTTTCCTCTTGCTGTAGTTTATGCAGGTTTTTTTTTATTCTGTTTTTTATGTCATCCCATGAATCGGTTATGTTCTCTTTTTCAACTGTTTCAGCTTTGATGTTTTCCAATAAATTTTTTATTTTATATATTAAAACTTTGTCATTTAGGATGCTGGAGTTTAGACACCATGTGCCAGCTCCTCTAGTTTTATTATCTATGCCTTGTTCCCATTGTAAAATATCGTGATCACTCCATACATTAGGTTTATACTGTATATTGTTAATTTCTTGAATAGTGTTTTTTGCAGCTAGTAAAAGATCAATCCTTGATTGTTTTAGTTTTCCTAGTACTGTCTGTTTTCTGGAGAAGTGGGTGCTATTTGTATTGTTAATTCTCCATAAATCCACCAGGTTGTGCTCTTGCATTATTTTCAGTAATTGTGTTCTGCTTGTGTCATTTCTGAATTTATTGTTTGATGATAAGTCTATTTTGTTCAGCACTATGTTGAAATCCCCTACTATTATTGTATTATCATTTATCCATTTTACTATTTCTTTGAGTTGAAATAATCTCTCCCTTTCGTTGTTTTCACCATGAAAGTTTATAATTCTATATGTTTTATTTCTATACAAGATATCTATAATTAAAATTTTACCTCTTTTGTCTTTATAAATCTCTTTACTATGTTCTAGTAAGTTATTATTTATCATAACAGCTACCCCCCTGCTTTCCCCACCCCAAACCCCACAAAGATCTTCCCACAGTAAAGTTTTTGTATTTGAAGAAGGGTTTGAGGTGACCAGCCGGTTTCCTGTAGACAAATAATGTCTTGTTGAGTTGAGTTGAAAAAAGAGACCATTTTATGTGAGGAGCAGAGACCATTAATGTTGAGGGAGATAGCTGTGAACATTATAAGAAAGGAGAAGAGTGGTCTATAAATCATTCCTATTAATCTGAGAAGTCGAAATTTGGACTCAATCTAGGTCAGTCAATTTTCCTTCTCCATGTTTTTTCCTGTCCTTTTTTTCTTCCTAATTTCCACCACTTTACCATCTAAATCCGATTCCGATTCTGTCAGAGATGATGTGGGCTTCAGCTTTTCACACGGGCCGAGGTTTTCCCTTCCCGGCCCCACCGGCTGCGCTCTGCTGCCTGTCTTTGCCGCTTTTTTTCGCGGTGGCAGAAACTCAATACCCTCTGCAAGGGCTGAAGGGGCTTCGGGGGTCTCCGGCGTAGCACGCGCTCTCAGAGCCCCGTCCGTCTCCCTCCCTCGCACATTTTTCTGTGCGGCTCTTGAGCTTGGACTCGGCTCGAAACCCTCACTTTGGGACCCACGAGCCTGGAGTTCCTCCTCCATGTCCACAGAGCTTTCAGCCACAATTACGCACGTCTCATCTGCCCCGTTTCCCTCACTTTCGACGCCACTCATGTGATCATCGTTAGTGGGAGAGCACTGTTGTTGTTCCCCACCCTCGCTCTCAGAATTTCTGCAAATGCATCTCCCCATGTCATTAAAACAAATTGTGCACTTGACTGGTGCGTTTGCACACTCCCGTGCGTAATGGCCCTGCTCCCCACATTTATGACATATAAACTCTGGGCATTCTCTGAAAATATGGCCCGGTTGTATGCATAATCTGCATACTTTCACCTGTCTGTCATGTATGACCCTAAAAAATTCAGCACCTGTTGCAGTATTAAATTTTGCCGAGTAAGGCAGTGACTGGATGTCTTTTGTGAATTTTACCTTACAGTATCTTGTACCGTCGGCGATGTTTGTGCCGGGCCACATTCTCCTTTTTATCGGGGATACAGCTGAAACTCCCCACATTTGTAGTTTGTTCTGAATGTCCGCGTCCGGGATGTAAGCAGGCAGGTTCAAAAAAGAGACCACCAGCTCGTCATTTGAAAGCTCCCTCGCCCACACATTCACAGCTCCAATCTTTAGACCCTCCATCAGTCTCTCTTTTCCTTTCCCATGGTTCATCGTGACTTCGTATTTCCTCTCCCCGACATATCTGCATGCCACCACCGCTCCACACGCCAGCCTCACCGCCCTCAGAAGTTCCGTCACCGTCACTTTCTCTTGTCCCTCCAGCTCCAGCATCACTGTCAACTCCTTTCTATAATTCAATTGTAGATCGTCATTCTTCTTTTCTTTCTCCATATTCCTTTTTCCATCTCTTAAACTGTCCGTAGTCGAAACCGTGGGAATTTCTCTGCCGTTTTCCGTGTCTTTTACCATTTTGTCCATCTTGTGAGACAGCGTTTGTGTGCCGCAGCACACTGAACGCCACGTCACCAAACAAAAAGAGGATCAAAACTCCTCACCCCCAGGCAGTAGAAAACCCCTGCCAGGGGTACAAAACAAAAAAAGATACAAAATACCTACCACTATCTACGATCAATTATCTAACTTACCTAAAAAACTTTTTTTCACTTCTTTCCTCACAATCTCTCTGACTCAAAACTACCGTGTGCATGCACCAAAAAAATGGGCGTGTTCAGGGTGGTATGGCCGTAAGCGATGACACAGGCTCCAAATGAGCTATTTCAACGTGCTCCTGTGTGGTTCTCTCAATTATAATCAGCATTTCACTTTCAATGAACAATGCGTCGCTCAAGAAAACACCCGGATACGCAGTCAAGCTTAGTTTTACAGCCTATCTCTGCAGTCCATCATGCTCCACTCCTTTGCTCCGCTTCATGACAAGATCTCAGTCCTCCCGCTCTTTGTGCTTTTTTGACTCTTTCTTTCATTTATCTTGAAGGCTCATCTCCAAGTGTATTTGCATTGGTCCAAGCTAAAGACCAGGCTCCCCAAAGATCCATATCCTAGCCTCTTGGAGAGAGAACACGGCACAAGATACAAGAAAAGAAAAGCTTACAGCACCTGGTATTCCCAGGCGGTCTCCCATCCAAGTACTAACCAGGCCCGACCCTGCTTAGCTTCCGAGATGGGACGAGATCGGGCGTGTTCAGGGTGGTATGGCCGTAAGCGATGACACAGGCTCCAAATGAGCTATTTCAACGTGCTCCTGTGTGGTTCTCTCAATTATAATCAGCATTTCACTTTCAATGAACAATGCGTCGCTCAAGAAAACACCCGGATACGCAGTCAAGCTTAGTTTTACAGCCTATCTCTGCAGTCCATCATGCTCCACTCCTTTGCTCCGCTTCATGACAAGATCTCAGTCCTCCCGCTCTTTGTGCTTTTTTGACTCTTTCTTTCATTTATCTTGAAGGCTCATCTCCAAGTGTATTTGCATTGGTCCAAGCTAAAGACCAGGCTCCCCAAAGACCCATATCCTAGCCTCTTGGAGAGAGAACACGGCACAAGATACAAGAAAAGAAAAGCTTACAGCACCTGGTATTCCCAGGCGGTCTCCCATCCAAGTACTAACCAGGCCCGACCCTGCTTAGCTTCCGAGATCGGACGAGATCGGGCGTGTTCAGGGTGGTATGGCCGTAAGCGATGACACAGGCTCCAAATGAGCTATTTCAACGTGCTCCTGTGTGGTTCTCTCAATTATAATCAGCATTTCACTTTCAATGAACAATGCGTCGCTCAAGAAAACACCCGGATACGCAGTCAAGCTTAGTTTTACAGCCTATCTCTGCAGTCCATCATGCTCCACTCCTTTGCTCCGCTTCATGACAAGATCTCAGTCCTCCCGCTCTTTGTGCTTTTTTGACTCTTTCTTTCATTTATCTTGAAGGCTCATCTCCAAGTGTATTTGCATTGGTCCAAGCTAAAGACCAGGCTCCCCAAAGACCCATATCCTAGCCTCTTGGAGAGAGAACACGGCACAAGATACAAGAAAAGAAAAGCTTACAGCACCTGGTATTCCCAGGCGGTCTCCCATCCAAGTACTAACCAGGCCCGACCCTGCTTAGCTTCCGAGATCGGACGAGATCGGGCGTGTTCAGGGTGGTATGGCCGTAAGCGATGACACAGGCTCCAAATGAGCTATTTCAACGTGCTCCTGTGTGGTTCTCTCAATTATAATCAGCATTTCACTTTCAATGAACAATGCGTCGCTCAAGAAAACACCCGGATACGCAGTCAAGCTTAGTTTTACAGCCTATCTCTGCAGTCCATCATGCTCCACTCCTTTGCTCCGCTTCATGACAAGATCTCAGTCCTCCCGCTCTTTGTGCTTTTTTGACTCTTTCTTTCATTTATCTTGAAGGCTCATCTCCAAGTGTATTTGCATTGGTCCAAGCTAAAGACCAGGCTCCCCAAAGACCCATATCCTAGCCTCTTGGAGAGAGAACACGGCACAAGATACAAGAAAAGAAAAGCTTACAGCACCTGGTATTCCCAGGCGGTCTCCCATCCAAGTACTAACCAGGCCCGACCCTGCTTAGCTTCCGAGATCGGACGAGATGGGGCGTGTTCAGGGTGGTATGGCCGTAAGCGATGACACAGGCTCCAAATGAGCTATTTCAACGTGCTCCTGTGTGGTTCTCTCAATTATAATCAGCATTTCACTTTCAATGAACAATGCGTCGCTCAAGAAAACACCCGGATACGCAGTCAAGCTTAGTTTTACAGCCTATCTCTGCAGTCCATCATGCTCCACTCCTTTGCTCCGCTTCATGACAAGATCTCAGTCCTCCCGCTCTTTGTGCTTTTTTGACTTTTTCTTTCATTTATCTTGAAGGCTCATCTCCAAGTGTATTTGCATTGGTCCAAGCTAAAGACCAGGCTCCCCAAAGACCCATATCCTAGCCTCTTGGAGAGAGAACACGGCACAAGATACAAGAAAAGAAAAGCTTACAGCACCTGGTATTCCCAGGCGGTCTCCCATCCAAGTACTAACCAGGCCCGACCCTGCTTAGCTTCCGAGATCGGACGAGATCGGGCGTGTTCAGGGTGGTATGGCCGTAAGCGATGACACAGGCTCCAAATGAGCTATTTCAACGTGCTCCTGTGTGGTTCTCTCAATTATAATCAGCATTTCACTTTCAATGAACAATGCGTCGCTCAAGAAAACACCCGGATACGCAGTCAAGCTTAGTTTTACAGCCTATCTCTGCAGTCCATCATGCTCCACTCCTTTGCTCCGCTTCATGACAAGATCTCAGTCCTCCCGCTCTTTGTGCTTTTTTGACTCTTTCTTTCATTTATCTTGAAGGCTCATCTCCAAGTGTATTTGCATTGGTCCAAGCTAAAGACCAGGCTCCCCAAAGACCCATATCCTAGCCTCTTGGAGAGAGAACACGGCACAAGATACAAGAAAAGAAAAGCTTACAGCACCTGGTATTCCCAGGCGGTCTCCCATCCAAGTACTAACCAGGCCCGACCCTGCTTAGCTTCCGAGATGGGACGAGATCGGGCGTGTTCAGGGTGGTATGGCCGTAAGCGATGACACAGGCTCCAAATGAGCTATTTGAACGTGCTCCTGTGTGGTTCTCTCAATTATAATCAGCATTTCACTTTCAATGAACAATGCGTCGCTCAAGAAAACACCCGGATACGCAGTCAAGCTTAGTTTTACAGCCTATCTCTGCAGTCCATCATGCTCCACTCCTTTGCTCCGCTTCATGACAAGATCTCAGTCCTCCCGCTCTTTGTGCTTTTTTGACTCTTTCTTTCATTTATCTTGAAGGCTCATCTCCAAGTGTATTTGCATTGGTCCAAGCTAAAGACCAGGCTCCCCAAAGACCCATATCCTAGCCTCTTGGAGAGAGAACACGGCACAAGATACAAGAAAAGAAAAGCTTACAGCACCTGGTATTCCCAGGCGGTCTCCCATCCAAGTACTAACCAGGCCCGACCCTGCTTAGCTTCCGAGATCGGACGAGATCGGGCGTGTTCAGGGTGGTATGGCCGTAAGCGATGACACAGGCTCCAAATGAGCTATTTCAACGTGCTCCTGTGTGGTTCTCTCAATTATAATCAGCATTTCACTTTCAATGAACAATGCGTCGCTCAAGAAAACACCCGGATACGCAGTCAAGCTTAGTTTTACAGCCTATCTCTGCAGTCCATCATGCTCCACTCCTTTGCTCCGCTTCATGACAAGATCTCAGTCCTCCCGCTCTTTGTGCTTTTTTGACTCTTTCTTTCATTTATCTTGAAGGCTCATCTCCAAGTGTATTTGCATTGGTCCAAGCTAAAGACCAGGCTCCCCAAAGACCCATATCCTAGCCTCTTGGAGAGAGAACACGGCACAAGATACAAGAAAAGAAAAGCTTACAGCACCTGGTATTCCCAGGCGGTCTCCCATCCAAGTACTAACCAGGCCCGACCCTGCTTAGCTTCCGAGATCGGACGAGATGGGGCGTGTTCAGGGTGGTATGGCCGTAAGCGATGACACAGGCTCCAAATGAGCTATTTCAACGTGCTCCTGTGTGGTTCTCTCAATTATAATCAGCATTTCACTTTCAATGAACAATGCGTCGCTCAAGAAAACACCCGGATACGCAGTCAAGCTTAGTTTTACAGCCTATCTCTGCAGTCCATCATGCTCCACTCCTTTGCTCCGCTTCATGACAAGATCTCAGTCCTCCCGCTCTTTGTGCTTTTTTGACTCTTTCTTTCATTTATCTTGAAGGCTCATCTCCAAGTGTATTTGCATTGGTCCAAGCTAAAGACCAGGCTCCCCAAAGACCCATATCCTAGCCTCTTGGAGAGAGAACACGGCACAAGATACAAGAAAAGAAAAGCTTACAGCACCTGGTATTCCCAGGCGGTCTCCCATCCAAGTACTAACCAGGCCCGACCCTGCTTAGCTTCCGAGATCGGACGAGATCGGGCGTGTTCAGGGTGGTATGGCCGTAAGCGTTGACACAGGCTCCAAATGAGCTATTTGAACGTGCTCCTGTGTGGTTCTCTCAATTATAATCAGCATTTCACTTTCAATGAACAATGCGTCGCTCAAGAAAACACCCGGATACGCAGTCAAGCTTAGTTTTACAGCCTATCTCTGCAGTCCATCATGCTCCACTCCTTTGCTCCGCTTCATGACAAGATCTCAGTCCTCCCGCTCTTTGTGCTTTTTTGACTTTTTCTTTCATTTATCTTGAAGGCTCATCTCCAAGTGTATTTGCATTGGTCCAAGCTAAAGACCAGGCTCCCCAAAGACCCATATCCTAGCCTCTTGGAGAGAGAACACGGCACAAGATACAAGAAAAGAAAAGCTTACAGCACCTGGTATTCCCAGGCGGTCTCCCATCCAAGTACTAACCAGGCCCGACCCTGCTTAGCTTCCGAGATCGGACGAGATCGGGCGTGTTCAGGGTGGTATGGCCGTAAGCGATGACACAGGCTCCAAATGAGCTATTTCAACGTGCTCCTGTGTGGTTCTCTCAATTATAATCAGCATTTCACTTTCAATGAACAATGCGTCGCTCAAGAAAACACCCGGATACGCAGTCAAGCTTAGTTTTACAGCCTATCTCTGCAGTCCATCATGCTCCACTCCTTTGCTCCGCTTCATGACAAGATCTCAGTCCTCCCGCTCTTTGTGCTTTTTTGACTCTTTCTTTCATTTATCTTGAAGGCTCATCTCCAAGTGTATTTGCACTGGTCCAAGCTAAAGACCAGGCTCCCCAAAGACCCATATCCTAGCCTCTTGGAGAGGGAACACGGCACAAGATACAAGAAAAGAAAAGCTTACAGCACCTGGTATTCCCAGGCGGTCTCCCATCCAAGTACCAACCAGGCCCGACCCTGCTTAGCTTCCGAGATCGGACGAGATCGGGCGTGTTCAGGGTGGTATGGCCGTAAGCGATGACACAGGCTCCAAATGAGCTATTTGAACGTGCTCCTGTGTGGTTCTCTCAATTATAATCAGCATTTCACTTTCAATGAACAATGCGTCGCTCAAGAAAACACCCGGATACGCAGTCAAGCTTAGTTTTACAGCCTATCTCTGCAGTCCATCATGCTCCACTCCTTTGCTCCGCTTCATGACAAGATCTCAGTCCTCCCGCTCTTTGTGCTTTTTTGACTCTTTCTTTCATTTATCTTGAAGGCTCATCTCCAAGTGTATTTGCATTGGTCCAAGCTAAAGACCAGGCTCCCCAAAGACCCATATCCTACCCTCTTGGAGAGGGAATACGGCACAAGATACAAGAAAAGAAAAGCTTACAGCACCTGGTATTCCCAGGCGGTCTCCCATCCAAGTACTAACCAGGCCCGACCCTGCTTAGCTTCCGAGATCGGACGAGATCGGGCGTGTTCAGGGTGGTATGGCCGTAAGCGATGACACAGGCTCCAAATGAGCTATTTCAACGTGCTCCTGTGTGGTTCTCTCAATTATAATCAGCATTTCACTTTCAATGAACAATGCGTCGCTCAAGAAAACACCCGGATACGCAGTCAAGCTTAGTTTTACAGCCTATCTCTGCAGTCCATCATGCTCCACTCCTTTGCTCCGCTTCATGACAAGATCTCAGTCCTCCCGCTCTTTGTGCTTTTTTGACTCTTTCTTTCATTTATCTTGAAGGCTCATCTCCAAGTGTATTTGCATTGGTCCAAGCTAAAGACCTGGGGCCTCATGTATCAACACTTGCGTGGAACTCATACCAGAAACGAGCGCACGCAAGGTCCGTAACGCTGAAAAAAATCCGTATGTATCAATGTGTGCGGACGCCGAAATCCACGTGTGTTTCCTTGATACATCCCAATCAGCGTGGAATTGAGCGCAGATGTCGGAGTGACTGGGCCAGCCCCCGTTACGCCCTCCTATAAATATGCAGATTTATTTAAATAGGGTCTCCCTGTCCTCGCACGCAGACAAAATGACAAGAAAACCTAAATTTACGGCGTGCGAGGTGGAGGTGCTGGTGGCGGAGGTGGAGGAGCGACAGCGTGTTTTGTTTGGCAGCCTGTCCAGTGGCGTCAGTGCAAAACGAAAACGCTTGGAGTGGGAGAAAGTTTGTCAGAGGGTGAACGCGGTGGGTTCAGAGACACGCTGCCCCGCGGAGATTAAAAAAAAGTGGTCGGACCTCAAGGTGGAGGTCAAGCGGCGTACAGCTGCCCTCCGGAGGAGTACCGGCCAGACAGGTGGGGGTCCGGGGGAGGAGACCCTCACGCCGTTTGAGCAGCGGGTGGTGGCGATTATGGGGGGCGCCTCTGTGGGGGGGATTGTCGCCGCTACCCGCGGCGACTCAGACAGCCTGCTGGAGGGTAAGTAGCGTGTCACACAAATGTCCACATGCTTTGCCATAGATGTAAATGCAACAGATACACAGAAGCAGGAATTGAAATGAACAAATATTTTTATTGTGTCACAGAAATCAATGTGTCGGCCGTGTCGCCGGCTTGTGGAACCCCGGCCCGCGGCAGCCCGTCCGCCGGCTCGGAGTCGTCGGCCAGGACCAGCGGCATTCGGGCCGCCCCCGGCCCCAGCACCAGCACCAGCACCAGCACCAGCACCAGCACCAGCACCAGCGCGCCGACAAGCGATGGAGCGTCCACCAGGCGCGGCGCTTCCGCTGGACCACCCGGACGCAGTGGAAGGGTCCTCACGGAGGCGGTCCTGCAATCACAGGAACAAATAATTAGGGGGATCGCGGGGATCAACGAGCGGCTGGACCGCCTCGTCAATGTCCTCGAGCGTCTGGTGGACAAAATAAAATAATTTGGCTCATTAAACTGTGTATTCACTTTTTACCCATTCACATTGTGGCGATGAGATTCTCCCGCGCGAGGACGGCGGCCCGGCAGGGATCAGCTCGCATCCCTCCGTCTGCTGCTGGATCATCATTTGGGGCGACGTGCTGCTCAGCCATGGGGATGTGGTGCAGTTGTGCCACATTGTGAAGGACGCCACACGCCATCACAATGCGGCACACCTTCTCCGGACGATAAAGAAGCACGCCGCCACTCCGGTCCAGACAGCGCCACCGACCCTTTAACTGGCCGATGGCCCTCTCCACCACTGACCGAGAGCGAGAGTGGAGATGGTTGTACCTCCGCTCTCGGTCAGTGTGGGGGTTGTGGAGAGGGGTCATCAGCCAGGTCCTGAGGGGGTAGCCACTGTCACCTTCAGAAAAAGCACAGTGTGTTAAGTTTTGGGCTTGATGCGTTGTAATAATAGCAAGCAATAAGCAATCAATAACCCACAACATCCATCGAGTACTCGCAATCAAACGCAGAGTACAATATATCAGCGTTGCACACATTTAGTTCAAGTCACTGATGCACGCCAAATTTTTGAATAACATTATATCATTACATATTTACTCACCCAGCAGCCACCCGTCTGTAACTGCACCTGCCTGGAGCCTCTCCCCAACAGTGCTGTTGTACATGATGTGCGAGTCGTGCGTTGAACCGGGCCACCTCGCAACAATGTTGAGCAGATTCATCTGTGCATCACAGATGATCTGCACATTGATGGAGTGAACGCCTTTTCGGTTGACGTAAGCGTACTCGTCAAGGGACTGGAGAGGCGGATCAGCTGGTCCACCACCGTAGGCATGGCCCGGCTGATGGTGGACTGGCTCACCCCAGCACGGTCCGCCATCTCCCGCTGGAAGGATCCTGTGGCCAAGAAGCCGAGTGTGCCCAGCACCAGCGTTGGCACGGGCACCGCTCGGCTTCTGGCCGTTGATCGCTCCAGCGCCGGCCGGAGCTCCTCGCACAGCTCCAGGAGGATGGCCCGCGGTAGCCGGAACCGGCTCATGAGCCATTCGTCTGTATTCTGGAGCAGGTCCTCCCGCTCCATAAAATGACGCTCACGTCGGATGGCACGGTTATAAATATCTTCGATCAGCGCAAGTGCTGCCATTGTTGAATGTTGTCTTCTGTATGTGTTGTTGTATGCGCTCTTTTATAGCCCCTCCCGTAATACCGACAGGTGTTCGTGTTTGTGTTAATGTGTTACAAATTAACACAATTAACACACGAACAGCTGTCGGATTAACAATTAATCCACTGCAATGTGTGGACGCTTGTCACATAGTGAGTCACCACACAGCGTCGCCAAAGTGCGAATCACAGTCAACGCAAGTTTTCGGCTCAACGCCAATTTCTACACCACCTCCTGACTTTGCGTTGATTAGCGCTGGAACCGACGCTCGTTTCGCGATGATAAATCTGGACGTGTGCGCCGATTTTGGCGTACGCAAGGTTTTCTTGCGCCGCAAGCGTTGATACATGAGGCCCCAGGCTCCCCAAAGACCCATATCCTAGCCTCTTGGAGAGAGAACACGGCACAAGATACAAGAAAAGAAAAGCTTACAGCACCTGGTATTCCCAGGCGGTCTCCCATCCAAGTACTAACCAGGCCCGACCCTGCTTAGCTTCCGAGATCTGACGAGATCGGGCGTGTTCAGGGTGGTATGGCCGTAAGCGATGACACAGGCTCCAAATGAGCTATTTCAACGTGCTCCTGTGTGGTTCTCTCAATTATAATCAGCATTTCACTTTCAATGAACAATGCGTCGCTCAAGAAAACACCCGGATACGCAGTCAAGCTTAGTTTTACAGCCTATCTCTGCAGTCCATCATGCTCCACTCCTTTGCTCCGCTTCATGACAAGATCTCAGTCCTCCCGCTCTTTGTGCTTTTTTGACTCTTTCTTTCATTTATCTTGAAGGCTCATCTCCAAGTGTATTTGCATTGGTCCAAGCTAAAGACCAGGCTCCCCAAAGACCCATATCCTAGCCTCTTGGAGAGAGAACACGGCACAAGATACAAGAAAAGAAAAGCTTACAGCACCTGGTATTCCCAGGCGGTCTCCCATCCAAGTACTAACCAGGCCCGACCCTGCTTAGCTTCCGAGATCGGACGAGATCGGGCGTGTTCAGGGTGGTATGGCCGTAAGCGATGACACAGGCTCCAAATGAGCTATTTCAACGTGCTCCTGTGTGGTTCTCTCAATTATAATCAGCATTTCACTTTCAATGAACAATGCGTCGCTCAAGAAAACACCCGGATACGCAGTCAAGCTTAGTTTTACAGCCTATCTCTGCAGTCCATCATGCTCCACTCCTTTGCTCCGCTTCATGACAAGATCTCAGTCCTCCCGCTCTTTGTGCTTTTTTGACTCTTTCTTTCATTTATCTTGAAGGCTCATCTCCAAGTGTATTTGCATTGGTCCAAGCTAAAGACCAGGCTCCCCAAAGACCCATATCCTAGCCTCTTGGAGAGAGAACACGGCACAAGATACAAGAAAAGAAAAGCTTACAGCACCTGGTATTCCCAGGCGGTCTCCCATCCAAGTACTAACCAGGCCCGACCCTGCTTAGCTTCCGAGATCGGACGAGATGGGGCGTGTTCAGGGTGGTATGGCCGTAAGCGATGACACAGGCTCCAAATGAGCTATTTCAACGTGCTCCTGTGTGGTTCTCTCAATTATAATCAGCATTTCACTTTCAATGAACAATGCGTCGCTCAAGAAAACACCCGGATACGCAGTCAAGCTTAGTTTTACAGCCTATCTCTGCAGTCCATCATGCTCCACTCCTTTGCTCCGCTTCATGACAAGATCTCAGTCCTCCCGCTCTTTGTGCTTTTTTGACTTTTTCTTTCATTTATCTTGAAGGCTCATCTCCAAGTGTATTTGCATTGGTCCAAGCTAAAGACCAGGCTCCCCAAAGACCCATATCCTAGCCTCTTGGAGAGAGAACACGGCACAAGATACAAGAAAAGAAAAGCTTACAGCACCTGGTATTCCCAGGCGGTCTCCCATCCAAGTACTAACCAGGCCCGACCCTGCTTAGCTTCCGAGATCGGACGAGATCGGGCGTGTTCAGGGTGGTATGGCCGTAAGCGATGACACAGGCTCCAAATGAGCTATTTGAACGTGCTCCTGTGTGGTTCTCTCAATTATAATCAGCATTTCACTTTCAATGAACAATGCGTCGCTCAAGAAAACACCCGGATACGCAGTCAAGCTTAGTTTTACAGCCTATCTCTGCAGTCCATCATGCTCCACTCCTTTGCTCCGCTTCATGACAAGATCTCAGTCCTCCCGCTCTTTGTGCTTTTTGACTCTTTCTTTCATTTATCTTGAAGGCTCATCTCCAAGTGTATTTGCATTGGTCCAAGCTAAAGACCAGGCTCCCCAAAGACCCATATCCTAGCCTCTTGGAGAGAGAACACGGCACAAGATACAAAAAGAAAAGAAAAGCTTACAGCACCTGGTATTCCCAGGCGGTCTCCCATCCAAGTACTAACCAGGCCCGACCCTGCTTAGCTTCCGAGATCTGACGAGATCGGGCGTGTTCAGGGTGGTATGGCCGTAAGCGATGACACAGGCTCCAAATGAGCTATTTCAACGTGCTCCTGTGTGGTTCTCTCAATTATAATCAGCATTTCACTTTCAATGAACAATGCGTCGCTCAAGAAAACACCCGGATACGCAGTCAAGCTTAGTTTTACAGCCTATCTCTGCAGTCCATCATGCTCCACTCCTTTGCTCCGCTTCATGACAAGATCTCAGTCCTCCCGCTCTTTGTGCTTTTTGACTTTTTCTTTCATTTATCTTGAAGGCTCATCTCCAAGTGTATTTGCATTGGTCCAAGCTAAAGACCAGGCTCCCCAAAGACCCATATCCTAGCCTCTTGGAGAGAGAACACGGCACAAGATACAAGAAAAGAAAAGCTTACAGCACCTGGTATTCCCAGGCGGTCTCCCATCCAAGTACTAACCAGGCCCGACCCTGCTTAGCTTCCGAGATCGGACGAGATCGGGCGTGTTCAGGGTGGTATGGCCGTAAGCGATGACACAGGCTCCAAATGAGCTATTTCAACGTGCTCCTGTGTGGTTCTCTCAATTATAATCAGCATTTCACTTTCAATGAACAATGCGTCGCTCAAGAAAACACCCGGATACGCAGTCAAGCTTAGTTTTACAGCCTATCTCTGCAGTCCATCATGCTCCACTCCTTTGCTCCGCTTCATGACAAGATCTCAGTCCTCCCGCTCTTTGTGCTTTTTTGACTCTTTCTTTCATTTATCTTGAAGGCTCATCTCCAAGTGTATTTGCATTGGTCCAAGCTAAAGACCAGGCTCCCCAAAGACCCATATCCTAGCCTCTTGGAGAGAGAACACGGCACAAGATACAAGAAAAGAAAAGCTTACAGCACCTGGTATTCCCAGGCGGTCTCCCATCCAAGTACTAACCAGGCCCGACCCTGCTTAGCTTCCGAGATGGGACGAGATCGGGCGTGTTCAGGGTGGTATGGCCGTAAGCGATGACACAGGCTCCAAATGAGCTATTTCAACGTGCTCCTGTGTGGTTCTCTCAATTATAATCAGCATTTCACTTTCAATGAACAATGCGTCGCTCAAGAAAACACCCGGATACGCAGTCAAGCTTAGTTTTACAGCCTATCTCTGCAGTCCATCATGCTCCACTCCTTTGCTCCGCTTCATGACAAGATCTCAGTCCTCCCGCTCTTTGTGCTTTTTGACTCTTTCTTTCATTTATCTTGAAGGCTCATCTCCAAGTGTATTTGCATTGGTCCAAGCTAAAGACCAGGCTCCCCAAAGACCCATATCCTAGCCTCTTGGAGAGAGAACACGGCACAAGATACAAGAAAAGAAAAGCTTACAGCACCTGGTATTCCCAGGCGGTCTCCCATCCAAGTACTAACCAGGCCCGACCCTGCTTAGCTTCCGAGATCGGACGAGATCGGGCGTGTTCAGGGTGGTATGGCCGTAAGCGATGACACAGGCTCCAAATGAGCTATTTCAACGTGCTCCTGTGTGGTTCTCTCAATTATAATCAGCATTTCACTTTCAATGAACAATGCGTCGCTCAAGAAAACACCCGGATACGCAGTCAAGCTTAGTTTTACAGCCTATCTCTGCAGTCCATCATGCTCCACTCCTTTGCTCCGCTTCATGACAAGATCTCAGTCCTCCCGCTCTTTGTGCTTTTTTGACTTTTTCTTTCATTTATCTTGAAGGCTCATCTCCAAGTGTATTTGCACTGGTCCAAGCTAAAGACCAGGCTCCCCAAAGACCCATATCCTAGCCTCTTGGAGAGGGAACACGGCACAAGATACAAGAAAAGAAAAGCTTACAGCACCTGGTATTCCCAGGCGGTCTCCCATCCAAGTACCAACCAGGCCCGACCCTGCTTAGCTTCCGAGATCGGACGAGATCGGGCGTGTTCAGGGTGGTATGGCCGTAAGCGATGACACAGGCTCCAAATGAGCTATTTGAACGTGCTCCTGTGTGGTTCTCTCAATTATAATCAGCATTTCACTTTCAATGAACAATGCGTCGCTCAAGAAAACACCCGGATACGCAGTCAAGCTTAGTTTTACAGCCTATCTCTGCAGTCCATCATGCTCCACTCCTTTGCTCCGCTTCATGACAAGATCTCAGTCCTCCCGCTCTTTGTGCTTTTTTGACTCTTTCTTTCATTTATCTTGAAGGCTCATCTCCAAGTGTATTTGCATTGGTCCAAGCTAAAGACCAGGCTCCCCAAAGACCCATATCCTACCCTCTTGGAGAGGGAATACGGCACAAGATACAAGAAAAGAAAAGCTTACAGCACCTGGTATTCCCAGGCTGTCTCCCATCCAAGTACTAACCAGGCCCGACCCTGCTTAGCTTCCGAGATCGGACGAGATCGGGCGTGTTCAGGGTGGTATGGCCGTAAGCGATGACACAGGCTCCAAATGAGCTATTTGAACGTGCTCCTGTGTGGTTCTCTCAATTATAATCAGCATTTCACTTTCAATGAACAATGCGTCGCTCAAGAAAACACCCGGATACGCAGTCAAGCTTAGTTTTACAGCCTATCTCTGCAGTCCATCATGCTCCACTCCTTTGCTCCGCTTCATGACAAGATCTCAGTCCTCCCGCTCTTTGTGCTTTTTTGACTCTTTCTTTCATTTATCTTGAAGGCTCATCTCCAAGTGTATTTGCATTGGTCCAAGCTAAAGACCAGGCTCCCCAAAGACCCATATCCTACCCTCTTGGAGAGAGAACACGGCACAAGATACAAGAAAAGAAAAGCTTACAGCACCTGGTATTCCCAGGCGGTCTCCCATCCAAGTACTAACCAGGCCCGACCCTGCTTAGCTTCCGAGATCGGACGAGATCGGGCGTGTTCAGGGTGGTATGGCCGTAAGCGATGACACAGGCTCCAAATGAGCTATTTCAACGTGCTCCTGTGTGGTTCTCTCAATTATAATCAGCATTTCACTTTCAATGAACAATGCGTCGCTCAAGAAAACACCCGGATACGCAGTCAAGCTTAGTTTTACAGCCTATCTCTGCAGTCCATCATGCTCCACTCCTTTGCTCCGCTTCATGACAAGATCTCAGTCCTCCCGCTCTTTGTGCTTTTTTGACTCTTTCTTTCATTTATCTTGAAGGCTCATCTCCAAGTGTATTTGCATTGGTCCAAGCTAAAGACCAGGCTCCCCAAAGACCCATATCCTAGCCTCTTGGAGAGAGAACACGGCACAAGATACAAGAAAAGAAAAGCTTACAGCACCTGGTATTCCCAGGCGGTCTCCCATCCAAGTACTAACCAGGCCCGACCCTGCTTAGCTTCCGAGATCGGACGAGATCGGGCGTGTTCAGGGTGGTATGGCCGTAAGCGATGACACAGGCTCCAAATGAGCTATTTGAACGTGCTCCTGTGTGGTTCTCTCAATTAGAATCAGCATTTCACTTTCAATGAACAATGCGTCGCTCAAGAAAACACCCGGATACGCAGTCAAGCTTAGTTTTACAGCCTATCTCTGCAGTCCATCATGCTCCACTCCTTTGCTCCGCTTCATGACAAGATCTCAGTCCTCCCGCTCTTTGTGCTTTTTTGACTCTTTCTTTCATTTATCTTGAAGGCTCATCTCCAAGTGTATTTGCATTGGTCCAAGCTAAAGACCAGGCTCCCCAAAGACCCATATCCTAGCCTCTTGGAGAGAGAACACGGCACAAGATACAAGAAAAGAAAAGCTTACAGCACCTGGTATTCCCAGGCGGTCTCCCATCCAAGTACTAACCAGGCCCGACCCTGCTTAGCTTCCGAGATCGGACAAGATCAGGCGTGTTCAGGGTGGTATGGCCGTAAGCGATGACACAGGCTCCAAATGAGCTATTTGAACGTGCTCCTGTGTGGTTCTCTCAATTATAATCAGCATTTCACTTTCAATGAACAATGCGTCGCTCAAGAAAACACCCGGATACGCAGTCAAGCTTAGTTTTACAGCCTATCTCTGCAGTCCATCATGCTCCACTCCTTTGCTCCGCTTCATGACAAGATCTCAGTCCTCCCGCTCTTTGTGCTTTTTTGACTCTTTCTTTCATTTATCTTGAAGGCTCATCTCCAAGTGTATTTGCATTGGTCCAAGCTAAAGACCAGGCTCCCCAAAGACCCATATCCTAGCCTCTTGGAGAGAGAACACGGCAAAGATGCAAAAAAAGAAAAGCTTACAGCACCTGGTATTCCCAGGCGGTCTCCCATCCAAGTACTAACCAGGCCCGACCCTGCTTAGCTTCCGAGATCGGACGAGATCGGGCGTGTTCAGGGTGGTATGGCCGTAAGCGATGACACAGGCTCCAAATGAGCTATTTGAACATGCTCCTGTGTGGTTCTCTCAATTATAATCAGCATTTCACTTTCAGTGAACAATGCGCGCTCAAGAAAACACCCGGATACGCAGTCAAGCTTAGTTTTACAGCCTATCTCTGCAGTCCATCATGCTCCACTCCTTTGCTCCACTTCATGACAAGATCTCAGTCCTCCCGCTCTTTGTGCTTTTTGACTTTTTCTTTCATTTATCTTGAAGGCTAATCTCCAAGTGTATTTGCATTTGTCCAAGCAAAAGACCAGGCTCCCCAAAGACCCATATCCTAGCCTCTTGGAGAGAGAACACGGCACAAGATGCAAGAAAAAGAAAAGCTTACAGCACCTGGTATTCCCAGGCGGTCTCCCATCCAAGTACTAACCAGGCCCGACCCTGCTTAGCTTCCGAGATCGGACGAGATCGGGCGTGTTCAGGGTGGTATGGCCGTAAGCGATGACACAGGCTCCAAATGAGCTATTTGAACATGCTCCTGTGTGCTTCTCTCAATTAGAATCAGCATTTCACTTTCAGTGAACAATGCGCGCTCAAGAAAACACCCGGATACGCAGTCAAGCTTAGTTTTACAGCCTATCTCTGCAGTCCATCATGCTCCACTCCTTTGCTCCACTTTAGGACAAGATCTCAGTCCTCCCGCTCTTTGTGCTTTTTGACTTTTTCTTTCATTTATGTTCAGCTAATCTCCAAGTGCACTTGCATTGTCCAAGCTAAAGACCAGGCTCCCCAAAGACCCGATATCCTAGCCTCTTGGAGAGAGAACACGGCAAAGATGCAAAAAAAGAAAAGCTTACAGCACCTGGTATTCCCAGGCGGTCTCCCATCCAAGTACTAACCAGGCCCGACCCTGCTTAGCTTCCGAGATCGGACGAGATCGGGCGTGTTCAGGGTGGTATGGCCGTAAGCGATGACACAGGCTCCAAATGAGCTATTTGAACATGCTCCTGTGTGCTTCTCTCAATTAGAATCAGCATTTCACTTTCAGTGAACAATGCGTCGCTCAAGAAAACACCCGGATACGCAGTCAAGCTTAGTTTTACAGCCTATCTCTGCAGTCCATCATGCTCCACTCCTTTGCTCCACTTTAGGACAAGATCTCAGTCCTCCCGCTCTTTGTGCTTTTTGACTTTTTCTTTCATTTATATGTTCAGCCTAATCTCCAAGTGTATTTGCATTTGTCCAAGCAAAAGACCAGGCTCCCCAAAGACCGATATCCTAGCCTCTTGGAGAGAGAACACGGCAAAAAGATGCAAGAAAAGAAAGAAAAGCTTACAGCACCTGGTATTCCCAGGCGGTCTCCCATCCAAGTACTAACCAGGCCCGACCCTGCTTAGCTTCCGAGATCGGACGAGATCGGGCGTGTTCAGGGTGGTATGGCCGTAAGCGATGACACAGGCTCCAAATGAGCTATTTGAACATGCTCCTGTGTGCTTCTCTCAATTAGAATCAGCATTTCACTTTCAGTGAACAATGCGGCGCTCAAGAAAACACCCGGATACGCAGTCAAGCTTAGTTTTACAGCCTATCTCTGCAGTCCATCATGCTCCACTCCTTTGCTCCACTTTAGGACAAGATCTCAGTCCTCCCGCTCTTTGTGCTTTTTGACTTTTCTTTCATTTTATGTTCAGCCTAATCTCCAAGTGCACTTGCATTTGTCCAAGCAAAAGACCAGGCTCCCCAAAGACCGATATCCTAGCCTCTTGGAGAGAGAACACGGCAAAAAGATGCAAGAAAAGAAAGAAAAGCTTACAGCACCTGGTATTCCCAGGCGGTCTCCCATCCAAGTACTAACCAGGCCCGACCCTGCTTAGCTTCCGAGATCGGACGAGATCGGGCGTGTTCAGGGTGGTATGGCCGTAAGCGATGACACAGGCTCCAAATGAGCTATTTGAACATGCTCCTGTGTGCTTCTCTCAATTAGAATCAGCATTTCACTTTCAGTGAACAATGCGGCGCTCAAGAAAACACCCGGATACGCAGTCAAGCTTAGTTTTACAGCCTATCTCTGCAGTCCATCATGCTCCACTCCTTTGCTCCACTTTAGGACAAGATCTCAGTCCTCCCGCTCTTTGTGCTTTTTGACTTTTTCTTTCATTTTATGTTCAGCCTAATCTCCAAGTGCACTTGCATTTGTCCAAGCAAAAGACCAGGCTCCCCAAAGACCGATATCCTAGCCTCTTGGAGAGAGAACACGGCAAAAAGATGCAAGAAAAAAAGAAAAGCTTACAGCACCTGGTATTCCCAGGCGGTCTCCCATCCAAGTACTAACCAGGCCCGACCCTGCTTAGCTTCCGAGATCGGACGAGATCGGGCGTGTTCAGGGTGGTATGGCCGTAAGCGATGACACAGGCTCCAAATGAGCTATTTGAACATGCTCCTGTGTGCTTCTCTCAATTAGAATCAGCATTTCACTTTCAGTGAACAATGCGGCGCTCAAGAAAACACCCGGATACGCAGTCAAGCTTAGTTTTACAGCCTATCTCTGCAGTCCATCATGCTCCACTCCTTTGCTCCACTTTAGGACAAGATCTCAGTCCTCCCGCTCTTTGTGCTTTTTGACTTTTTCTTTCATTTTATGTTCAGCCTAATCTCCAAGTGCACTTGCATTTGTCCAAGCAAAAGACCAGGCTCCCCAAAGACCATATCCTAGCCTCTTGGAGAGAGAACACGGCAAAAAGATGCAAGAAAAGAAAAGCTTACAGCACCTGGTATTCCCAGGCGGTCTCCCATCCAAGTACTAACCAGGCCCGACCCTGCTTAGCTTCCGAGATCGGACGAGATCGGGCGTGTTCAGGGTGGTATGGCCGTAAGCGATGACACAGGCTCCAAATGAGCTATTTGAACATGCTCCTGTGTGCTTCTCTCAATTAGAATCAGCATTTCACTTTCAGTGAACAATGCGGCGCTCAAGAAAACACCCGGATACGCAGTCAAGCTTAGTTTTACAGCCTATCTCTGCAGTCCATCATGCTCCACTCCTTTGCTCCACTTTAGGACAAGATCTCAGTCCTCCCGCTCTTTGTGCTTTTTGACTTTTTCTTTCATTTTATGTTCAGCCTAATCTCCAAGTGCACTTGCATTTGTCCAAGCAAAAGACCAGGCTCCCCAAAGACCGATATCCTAGCCTCTTGGAGAGAGAACACGGCAAAAAGATGCAAGAAAAGAAGAGAAAAGCTTACAGCACCTGGTATTCCCAGGCGGTCTCCCATCCAAGTACTAACCAGGCCCGACCCTGCTTAGCTTCCGAGATCGGACGAGATCGGGCGTGTTCAGGGTGGTATGGCCGTAAGCGATGACACAGGCTCCAAATGAGCTATTTGAACATGCTCCTGTGTGCTTCTCTCAATTAGAATCAGCATTTCACTTTCAGTGAACAATGCGCGCTCAAGAAAACACCCGGATACGCAGTCAAGCTTAGTTTTACAGCCTATCTCTGCAGTCCATCATGCTCCACTCCTTTGCTCCACTTTAGGACAAGATCTCAGTCCTCCCGCTCTTTGTGCTTTTTGACTTTTTCTTTCATTTTATGTTCAGCCTAATCTCCAAGTGCACTTGCATTTGTCCAAGCAAAAGACCAGGCTCCCCAAAGACCGATATCCTAGCCTCTTGGAGAGAGAACACGGCAAAAAGATGCAAGAAAAGAAAGAAAAGCTTACAGCACCTGGTATTCCCAGGCGGTCTCCCATCCAAGTACTAACCAGGCCCGACCCTGCTTAGCTTCCGAGATCGGACGAGATCGGGCGTGTTCAGGGTGGTATGGCCGTAAGCGATGACACAGGCTCCAAATGAGCTATTTGAACATGCTCCTGTGTGCTTCTCTCAATTAGAATCAGCATTTCACTTTCAGTGAACAATGCGGCGCTCAAGAAAACACCCGGATACGCAGTCAAGCTTAGTTTTACAGCCTATCTCTGCAGTCCATCATGCTCCACTCCTTTGCTCCACTTTAGGACAAGATCTCAGTCCTCCCGCTCTTTGTGCTTTTTGACTTTTTCTTTCATTTTATGTTCAGCCTAATCTCCAAGTGCACTTGCATTTGTCCAAGCAAAAGACCAGGCTCCCCAAAGACCGATATCCTAGCCTCTTGGAGAGAGAACACGGCAAAAGATGCAAGAAAAGAAGAGAAAAGCTTACAGCACCTGGTATTCCCAGGCGGTCTCCCATCCAAGTACTAACCAGGCCCGACCCTGCTT